AGCTCAAGTTATGTGTGGTAAGTACACTGGGGGTACTGGGGAAGAGAATTAGGACAGACAAATATAGAGCTTTCCTTTCATAGTCTGAGAAGAAATACTACTTTATATTTTTTCAAATCTGAACAGTATACACAATGTTTGTATTTAAATACTTTTTATTTCACAAAAAAAGCAACAGTGTTTGCAGTTACACATGCCTTTCAATCAGTGCTGGTCATATGCAAAACAAGTTATCAGAAATATAAAGAAAAATAAGCTTTTCCCTTTACAAGTGAAACACCACAATTTGCATATACAATATTATATATACAGATTTTCAAAATCTTCCACAAAAGGCAGATTTTTGTGATACAAATTTAGAATTCCATCCACAAGCTCAGACTGAAGGAATTAAAGATCTCCATAGATGTTTAAATACAAAAATTTCTACATTTACAGTTTTCCTAGCAATTAATTTCCAAAGTACTGAAGGAGACTATTCTTCACAGCAACATGGAACACTTGGCTTTAATCAAGGCAGCTGTGAGACTAAGGTTTGTCTCAACATGCGCTTGCTGATTAATGCAAATACTCCAATTATGCTGTAATTCTCATTTTATATACACATATACACAAATGTATTATTGTACTGATGGTTTATACGGTCTGACTTCTGGAGCATTTCATTCTGCTAAGCCATGACCTTTACTTCCTTTGAAGTATTTCAAATTAAGAACTGTTCAAAATTATCACTAATGACTACCATGACTAATTCCAAAAATGTGCTCCTTTCTCTTATTTATGATCAAAGTTAAATGTCATGAAAACTGTTATTTTTTTCTACAGCAGCAGGTATAATTAACAGCAACATATAGGCTAATTTTTCAACACTAGAACCTGAGAGTCTGATATAAAAATCATCTTGAAATTTTTCTAGGAGTCCTATCATTCAATGTTTCTTAAATAATGATATGGCAAATCTTCAGCATGGAACAGCATCACTATATATGTGAAAACAGAACATATAATGCTAAAATGCTGAAAGCAAGGAAGGAGGGAGGGAGGCATGCAATGGCTTTGATTTGCAGACAAACGTGTAATCATAACACTGAGCATGTGCTGGAGAAAGAGACAATGTGAAATGTAAGATTGCTGAAAGCAAGCATGCAGGCCTAGATGCACAAAATGCACACAAAAACACAAAAGCAACGAGGCAGCACTGGCTAAACTTTTGAGTGCAACTGAAGATGACGTTTAACAGTACAGGCACTGCAGACAAAAGGGAAGAAGGAGCAGCAATGGGTCAGCCACTGGAGAGTGGAGGACAGAGAAGCAGCCACACAAGAGCTCTGGGGAGGACAGGGCCAACACGCTCTGCCACTGCGGGTGCTGAAAGAGAGAAAGGGCTTGTACCAAAAATTTCTTTTGGATTAATTTTTGGGTCCACGCTATCATTCTCCAGAGCAATGCCAATAACTCAAAAGGTTCATTCCAAGAAGAAAAGTAATTTCTACTGGCTACTCAAGAATGTTCCAGTATGGAACTGCATCAGAGTTTTGTAGATAAAACCATTCCAGGCCACAAAAAGAAGCTACTCTTCAGGGTCCTTCAAATGAGTTGTAGGGAACACTACTGCTGGCTTATCATCTTCAATGGCTTACTAGTTACTGAAAGATTAACTAGTAAGGTAATTAAAGCACACTTTTACTCAGCACTGCCCTCTGCCTTTATGATATTTACAAAAGCAGAGGCCCCTTTTCACCACCTCATTCAGCTTAACATAAGAACTGCCGAGACTGATTAGCTTTTAGAGCTCAACCATATCCAAATGTCCTCTCCAGTCTGACTCATTGCATGCCTGCTGCCATTAGTTACACCACCACATCTCCAGACCTTCAAGCCAGATGGCTGGAACCTAGTGAGCCTGTATTTTTGTTAGGTACAGTCAGAGCCCTGCAAAGGATTAAGTATTAAGGGGAAATAATGAGGGACAAAAAGAAACAAATTACAAATACAGATACAGACATATAGATATAGATATATGTCTTCTAGGAAATCAAACGACCAAAACTATACTAGCTATTGCTAAATGAGAAAATATGTGGGAAAGGAAGAAATGCTCTGTCATATTATGAAACTCAAGTTTCACTAGGTCCCTACATAACCTCCATGCACAGAAATAATACAAAATGAAAATATATTTGCACTTATTCAGAACACCAGAAATATAAATCCTTCCAAAGCAAACAAGTAAATAACACACAACTATTCTACTATTGCCTACACAGGCAATCAGGGGAAGGGGAGAATGGGAGATTTGTCATACACTGATCCTCGATTTTCAATGGGTACCTCTATACCATGCAAAGGACTGAGTACCCAATCAATAAGATAAAGATATTTACATACATTTTAAAAGAAGTATATGCCCTGCCTCTTTCTCTTAACCATTACCCAACCCCAAGATCCCTCCCCACACAAAACACCCCAAGTTATAAAATGATTGCCCCTATAGGCAATGAGGGAAGGGGAATAGAGGAGAGTTATCATACGTCTGGACCGCCATATTCATTATATATCTACAAGTCCCAGCAAAAGGCTGGGCACTGCCAGAAATAGCACAGAGAATATAGAAAATATTTATATACATTAAAAATATATATATGTGTACACCCACCCCGCATTCCCCCAAAACCCAAACATCTATTCTACCATTGCCCTCCAGGCAATCAGGAATGGGGAGTATAGGAGATTTTTCATAGAGTCAATCTCAATGTTCATTAACTACCTAGTCACTCAAAGGAGGAAGTTAATGCCCCAAAAGGGAAAGAAACATTAACACACACAAACATTTTAGTTTTATATTTGTGTGTGTGTGTGTGTGTGTGTGTGTGTGTGTAGAGAAATATAAATATTTTCTAGCAAGGCTAGTCCCCATTAAAAAACACAAAAACTAAAAACACAAACCCAGCTCTGCAGTAATCATATGCTATCCTCTGTGAACCCAGTGTACAGGGCAAGAGAAAAAGGATGGACCACACCTCTGGGTCTGAGCCTCTCATTACATCTGATACCTAAAAGTCCAAACAAAAAACTTGGCTGGGAGTGAAAGAATGAAAAAAGTAAAAAACTTTTATATACATTAAAAAAAACACAAACCCCAAATCTCCCACCCCCATACTTGTCAAAGAAACTCAAACAACTACTCTACTAGTCATTGCCCAGGCAGGCAACAGGGAAGGGCAAAAGTGGGATTTGTTTTCATAGAATGAACCTTAATTTTCATTATGTCCTAAGTGCCCACAGAAAGGTCTAAGTACAAAATGAAGTGCCAGAAAAAGGAGCAAAAATATTTATATACAGATATAAAAGTACACATCCCATCCTTCTGAGTAGAGTTTAAAAAATCTATGCTACACTACAACTGTTGCCCACAGAGGCAATAAGGAAAGGGGAAAACAGGAGATTTTTCATACATCCGGACCTCCATGTTTCATTAGGTACCTCTATGTCCATGCAAAGGACTTGGTACATAATGAAATATCTAGTTAAAAAAAGAACTATACAAATTAAAAAAAAATGTACACATCCTTACATTAGCCCCCTCCCACTCCAAACCTTAAAAACACTCAAAATATTTTAAAATTATTGCTCACAGATCAAAAAGGAAAGGGAGACGAGGAGACTTACACATCCATTAACTCCACAGTTCATTAGGAACCCACATGTCACTTCTTCACTGACACCCAATGAAATACTCTAATAAAGAAGCAAAATCATACACACATTTAAAAAAACACATACCCCAATACCCATAGAAACCCTGAAGCTATCAACTACTCTACTACACACTGCCCACACAGGCAGTAGAGGGAAGAGGAAGAGGAGACTTGTCATAGAATGATCCTCAATTTTCTTCATATATCCATGTAAAGGACAGATATGAAGTGAAAAAACTATAAAAACATTTATATACATTTTAAAAGTATATACTCTTACTCTGAAATCGCTTTTTCTACTGTGGAAAGAAACTTTCAAAAATCTTGAGCTACTCTAAAAGGTATTGCCCAAACAGGCAATAGGGGAAAGGGAGAAGAGGAGATTGTTATACATCTGGAACTCTGGTTCATTAGGTACCGTCCAGTCTGGGTACCCAAAGAATACAATACAGCACTAGGAACACATATGTACATATATACACACATTAAGTATATTCCCTTCTTGCCCCTGCTCTCCCTGCCAAACACCCCACTCTTTACAATTCTACTTAGGACTCTACTTCCCTAAAGGCAACAGAGGTGGGGAGGAGGCAGCAACTGTCGCACATCCAGACCTCCATAGTCCAACTACTAACAAATGTAGTAGCAGATGTATTTATATATACTGACTGAGTATATACCCCATTCTCTCCCATAGCCCAAAGAAAACTAATCTACTAGCTATTGCCTAAAGAGGCAATAAAGGAAAAGAGATGTGTCACACCCTGAACCTCAATTTTCATCAAGCATCTATGCAAAGAAACAAGAATAAAACGAAACATTAAAAAGTGAGAGAACATTTATATACACTTGAAAGGATAGACAACTTAGTTCCTCAGACTAGGTCAAAACAATAGCTACTGTGACTACTTTGTTAGCTCTTATCCATTCTGGGAGTGAGAAGAGAAGTGAACGGGACAAAGCCATTCTACAGACTGCCGTGGTTTATATACCTGCCCGCAAGAGGGATGAATGAAGTGCAGAATGAAATAACACAAAATAGCAGCAAAATCACATGTACGATTTTTAATAGAAACTGTCATCCCAACAAAATCGCCTCCTTTCAGAAAAGAAAAACGACACTGTAACTACACTGTAGCTATTGCCTGTAACAGATGATAGGGCAAGATCTTCATTGGACAGTATTTCACTTATTAAGATAAAATACATAAAATAATTATAAAAACATCTAAAACTAAATATATACATTAACAAAAGTCCCCCACCAAGAAATACTAAAAAAAAAAAAAAAAAAAAAAAAAAAAAAAAAAACCAAAAAACTATTCTACTATTCTACTAGTTATTGCCCATTCGAGCAACAAGGGAAGGGAGAAGAGGAGATTTATCATACTTTTGGACCTCCACTTTTCACTTAGTATTTGCCAATGAAGAGAATGAAGCACAAAATAAAAGAATGCAAACATCCTGCAAAAATGTACACTTAGTTTAAAAATATACAAATAAGAGAGGGAAGCTTCTTAAAAAGTGAGCCAATTCCAACAAAAATGTAAGTAATGAGGAAATGGAGAGAAGAGGTGCATCTGATCTGCGACCCTAGTTCTTACATAGGCCTACGTAACAAAACCCACTTCTAGTTTTGCAATTTTCTGTAACTCTACAGATTTCCAGGAACTGCTGTCCATGGTGACAACACATCTGAGATGCATGATACCTTTCCTGCAGCACTGAGACACGCGTGGTCATCAGGGAAATGTTCAGCAGCATAACTGTAGACTGTGCTTCCAGACACTGTGACCTGAATACACTCTTAAGATCCAATCCAGTGACAGGCAACAACAGGCTATCAGGAATGTAACAAGCTGAGTACTTAATTTTAATTTCTTACTTCCCAATACATATTCAGAACAGATTCTATCTGTACCTAGTCCCACAGAAGCAGCTTGATTTGCTCCTTATACTGAGGACTCTTCTGAGAGCTCCTCTGATCTTACAGTAGCTAAAGTCCCAAAAAACAAAAGCACATTATGTCAAAGAAAAATCAGAGTTAAGTAGAATGCATGATAGAAACTCTGTATACTGAAACAATGACAGCACAATTTCATTTAAAGAGACTTAAATAAAATAAGATAAAGGCACAAGCTTATAGTGGAATCTGCCACTACTTACAGATTAATATATCTAATCATTTTCATTTTAACAACAAACTGAATTCCTCCAACTTCTACTTTCATGACCTTTCACACCTCCAAAGCATAACTCTAGATTTCCAATTCAGTCCTTCCTAATAATCTGTAATGTATTTTTTATATCACATTCACGTTGTAGACTATTCTCTGCAATGAACAGAAAACTTAAGTACTACATTCAAGTACTCAATTGCAGCAGGAATCTGTATGCTTATATAAAAAGCACACTGTGACTTTTTGCTTCAATATGAATTCCCACAAACATATGCACAAGATATATTTTGGGTGAAAAAAATATAAAAACTAATAACATTAAGTCCTACCTTTTATTTAACTTTATATTCCTGACTTAAAAGTTAGTTCCAAGAGATCCTATATAAATGGGTCAGGATAACATAAAACATGGAACTGTGTGGAAAAAACTTAGGTGAGGGCTACTAAAACTATAAATCATTGAGAGAAGAGCTACAAATAAAATGGCAATTACCTATCCAGTATCATAGGAATGAACCGCTTTTGAGTATAAAGACAGCAGTGGATCATAAGTTACCTCTCAGCCCATGTTTTGACAAAGCTTTACTTATAATACTCCATCATACACACACACACACACACACACACACACACACACACACACACACATTCTCTCTCATCCTCTCTCTCTCACATACACACACAGAAAAAACCCATATAATTTAAGACAAGATTTGCCATATGCAGAGTTAACATATTTTACAGTAATGTAAAGATAGGCAGGTAAAAATGAAGAATCTTAACTGATTTTGAGAAGTTAGCAAATTTTAAATTATGAAGTGGAATTTAGTAATACAGCATGGTTTAAAAAAAAGCAACAACACACACACACACAAACGCCTCAAAAGTTTAGTATTTCTCCCTTACTCAGAAAATACAAAACCCTACTTTTAATATCTACTTAATCATCACTCATTTACCAAAGCATAAGAAGAATAAAGATCTACTATCATCTCAGTTTCAATGTCTAAAGATATGATTCTCAGGATATATTTCCTACACAAAAACAGAGGAACAAATGGTTAGAAAAGACTAAGCTGGGGGAATACACACTAGGATTAAAGCAAGGCTATCTTTTAGTTTAATAGCCTTTTAAATTTTGTTATATAAAAATATTTTCATAAAATAAAATAGAATTTTATACACAACCCCACATATTCTAACTTTACATCTGCTGAATAAAAAAAAAAAAGGTGACCTTTTCCATTGTCTGATTCTGTGGAGTGTTTTAAGTGCTCGTAAATGAGTAACTCCCATTTTTATGTACATAGACACTTTCAAACAAAATATAAAGTTCTCAAGAGTTATTAGGAAGAAAACTTCTCTCCTAAGAAACAAAGAAACACAACACTCTAGATATAGGTCTGCATAGCTCAAATAATTCAAGTACGGTATTTTTCCTTCAGAAGGAATAAAAATGCCATTTGATTTTGGATATTCTCTCATTTTTTTCTTCTTTGACCACTCCATGTAATGCTAGTTTGGCCAGAATAAAAGAAAGACTATGATTTTTTTCTTTCAACCAAAGAAAAGCACATTTTTAATAGTGGAAAAATTCAGAGCCCACCATATTAAACGTGAATTCAACTTACTCCTACCCCATATTCTCCTTTGTTCCTTTAAGGTACTATGGTGAACTTCAAATAAAAATCTGTAATTTCTCAAAGACCCTATTTTAAAATACGCTTCTAATATGCCACTGTTATCATATAAAATGAGATCTACAGAGGGTATGATTGGGATCATAATATAATTTGTGAGGACAAAAGGCTATGACAAAAAATACCAGCGTTAACACAATGTTTACCAAAAATACAGAAATACTTATCTATAACATAAAGTCAATCTAGGGCAGGAGTGATGACTATGTAGGCCTGGGGGATACTGGCATTTGTGAAAAAAAATATCGAATATTCTCCTGTGGTAATGCTATACAAGATAAACCAGAAAGTGTTAAATATTTGCACAATTTAACTTTTTGGCCTGCTTAGTTATTCAATACAACAAAAAATTTACAAGTTCTGTAGCACCTGGCTATTCTGCAGGAAAAAAAATAGAATTGTTATAGGTATTATTTAAACTTTTCTCAGAAAATAAAGAATTACTCAAAACCCCAAATGCAAGTAGATTTGCACACCTGAGATCAGTTCTCTACAGCCAGATGTTTCAATGTATTCATTCCTGTACTCTGAGGCTAAATTTGTACCACATTCCAATAGCATCCACCAAGAAGAAGCAACAAATCAGCAGCCTGCAAGGATGGTGGCTGTTGTGGCAGCCTTTTCCTTGTTTTACTGTGTGGGTAACTTCAAGATCCTGAGAAATAGAAGAGTTCCCAAACTAGTTTTCCTCCACTGGTATATCCTCAAAGTAGAAAAAAACATTCACTGATTTGGTAGATGACTGGCATATAGTTGAATATAATGTAATAAATACACACTGCTTAAGGACATTTCAGAAAAGACAAATGAAAAACACAGTTGGGCCCTGAGCTAACTAGAACTCCTAAGAGTACATACAACTTGGCAGCCATCCTGGATTCACCTCAGTCTTTGCAAAAGCAGCGGAGCCCAAGTTCACAAGCTCTCTGAATGGGTGACGGAATGAGGTACAGTTTGCGTGCTACAGCCACCACGTCAGAGTGTTCAGGTTGTGCTCCATCCACTGGATATTCAATTGAATGATTTCCAAAGCCTCCTGGACACACCGAAGCCGAAAGGTTGCCTCTGACTGATTTTCAAAAAATGCCTGGACCTGTAAGTTCCACACAGGAGCATTTTTAAAGAAGAACAGTGAACTCAAGTAATTCTGTTCATCCTCTTAAAATAAGCTTTAACTTATGATAGCCATTCCAACATCTTGAAAGCAGTAAAAAGTACTTAAACTTCCACAATATATATAGGGACTTGTCAATCAAGCATGGTGACATTGGAAGTGATTTTAAAAATATGTTTTCCTTACCTTCACAAGGGGGAATGTCCCTAACTTAAAATAGAGAAGTAATGTTCAAGAAACAATAAGTAAATATAGAGTCTGAATAGGCCTGGTGCTATAAATTTAGTTTTTGAGTTGTATTATTACTTAATTATTAGTATCAGGGAGACGAGGAAATAGCGCTGAGAGTGCCATCAGGATTTTTCCTCCTTGCCACATATCCAGCCTTAGAAAAGTAATCTCAATACAGAATCAGTACAGATGAAGGCAGGCAGAGAGAAGAGACAGGAATTATTATGAAAGCCACCATCTCAGTTAAACTGAGAAGTCTAAGAGGAAAGAGTTATCTAGTCTCTCTACAAGCATTTTATATCACTGACCTCAGAAAAATGTGCCTCTGTTGAAAACAGGTGAGTTGATCCAGCAACAATATTTTGTATGGTATAGGACCCAAGATGGAACCTGAAAAAAAAACACAATATAAGGGAGAAAAAAATGAGGCACCTGCTGGTCAGCACAGCACTGTTTCTGAATGCAAAGCAAATGTTTTAATGCCAAGGCAAAGTCAAGTCCTACTCCTGCTAACTACAGCCTGGGCAGTCAGGGTTATCCATATATACTATACCAGTGATGAATCTTTCAGAGCTTTCAATAATAACATACAGCGGACTGTGCCATGTGTGCCATAGGTTCGCCACCACTGCACTACACTTAGTGTTAGTGGGACGGAAAGATGGGCAGATAAGGGGTGGTGGTGGTGGTGGCTGAGACAGCCAGACAGATTTTTAATGCATTTGATCTTCTCAAAGACCACATCACCCACAAATACTGTAAGAACTTTAAAAGATAGAAAGGGAAAAAGAAACCTATGTGCTCTCCAGTTCTAAATGATGAGAGGTGTGAGTTCTAAACGATGCCTGGCAATGAAGAGCCATTTTTAGCTGTGTAACTAAACAGCTGTTCTAATGTCCACAGCCATACGGTGCAGAGTGGTCTGGTGTCGGGCATGGCTGGCCTTGATCAGCGTCTGAACAGAACACCACCGGTGAGTGACCTGGGCTTTGGAATTATGTTTAGAAATGTAAAACATTCTGGGTGTTTCAGTTATGCTGAAAAGGAAGCATTTTTCCTTTCAGAGCAAACCATCACTTCTGTGAACCAACATGACACTGGGGGCTTTTTCCAAATGTAGAGCACTGAGAACACTGCTGTGCATCGCTCTTCCAAATGCAGAATACTAACAGCCATTCTCTGAGAAACTTACTTCTGTACAAGCTTATCCCAGTTTTCTTTGACAAAATCCCATGCCAACAAGTGTCCAGAAAAACCTCGGCCCACTGTCCTAATGATAAATGACAACTTCTGTGTTCGGATGATATCTCCCTCGAGGCTGCTCTTCATTAACCTGAAAAGCAAACAGATTTACTCTCCAAAATAACTATTCATGAAGAAGAGATGATTGAAATTAGTACTGGTTTCTTAACTAAAGCTGTATGGCAATTCTAGGGAAATGAGTGTTAGCTTAGTTTAAGAGTGATCTACTGGTTGAAAACTTGTCACTTTATTCCTTTTTTTTAAGTGAAGGAAGAACTCAATAAGACAGGCATTTACATATACAGTCACATCATAGTTTCTGACATAGTAAGGACACATAGGGAGAAAACTCTGGTAATTTATTACACTTCTGGAGATCTGTGAGTTTTTTCCTGGTAGAAACCACATTTAAATAGCCAAGTACAGGACTACTCTTAAAAGACTGGGCTGTTTAAATGATTTGACAATGAAGGTACATTTCAGAACAGATGCTTATTAATAGTATTTATTCATACTATGTACTAAACAGTGCTGTTAAATTCTAAAAACAGCAAACTATGAAGTAAGCATTTATTACCTATCTCCATTTTACAGGTAAAGAAATTTAAGGTTGTGTAATTGTCTCACAGTACACCGCAAATAAATACTGAGGTCTGGCATGTGAATGTATGTGGTCGTTATCTACTATGCTATACTATCCACTTATACTGGGGAAAATGCACATCTCAAAAATAATGTGGTAACATTTTTAGGGAGGAAAAAACTCAAATGCCTGAGAAGATGTGATGAGTGAAGTTATAATAGAGCCATAGTTTAAAATACTGTGCAGACATAAAAATAAATGAAGTAGGCTTTATGAAGTGAGTTGGCAAATCTCAAAGATTCATCATCCACTAGAAATAATGTTGTAAAACACTGGTATAGGATAAATCCATTATGCATGCAGGTGTGTATGTGCAGACTAGCATCTTTTATTCAAAATGCCTCCATTTTTATAGGTCAGAGGCTGGCCACTGCTGTGAAGAAAATGCCTATTTAAAATGTACCTTTGAGAAAGTGGGTCTGGGAAGGTGCTGAGAAAGTGGGTCTGGGAAGGTGCTGAGAATGTCTCTGGGACACTATTAGCATTTTTTGAGAAAAATTACATAAGAGAAGCAATGAGCCCCAGGTGCCTCCCTCTATTCTTCATGGGGAGAATTTCAACCCCAGTGCCCTAAGCTGCAGACACCTTTATTTTCCTCTTTGCTACCTAGGGCTCCTCCACCCCGCCACTTTCTGATGAGGTCCTCATTGTTGCCCTTCTTTCACCCATGAGAAAGACCTATGACCAGACTGTCATTAGCTGGACATTAAAATGGAAAAGTATGACAAATCATATGAAGGCAGAACATACAAGCTTTTTCATTATTAATTTTTTCTGAACTATCTGTATTTTCAAAGTGACAATTGGAACAGAGCAATACTTTGGTCCAAAAGAATGAAGTACTGACTGTGGTGTTAAAGATAACGTGTCAAAAAGATGAAGACAATTTTGAGTGGGAGCAGGGAAAAGCTGTGATTCCAAAGCACATTCTGTCCATCTGTAGAGGTTAAATCCCTAAAATGAAGCCCAGCATATGCAAGCTCCTCGTCACACTAAGTCAGGTCTAGCTTATGACAAAACAGGAGGAAAAGGGAGCTCTCAAAGAAAAGTGCTCCCCTCCTAGGAGCAAAGGGCTTTTATCTTTTGGTTTATATATATATATATTCGTGTATGGTTACATACCAGTAAAGTCTCCGTGTATCTGCTGAACTGGCAAGAGCTTCAAGTATTTTGTTTTTCTCAGCTTCAGAGCTTATAGAAACATACTTGCTTAAGAGGAATGACCAGCCTGTATCAGTTTTTGCTCCAACTTTGAACACAGGTGTCATGACATCAGTAGGTAGGCTGGAAAAGAGATGGGAAAACATGAGGATAAGAAACATTCTGAAATCGCTTCTCGGCCTTTTGGCTAAGATCAAGTGTAGAAACATTCTGAATACACAGACAAGGAGTTGACTGGTGGTGCTGTTTTGGGAGTCAGGGTAGGTGATAATTATAAAAGTCATAATTATGTAAGAGTCAAAAAAAGCGAATTCAATGACTCTTACTTTTATGCACTGAACTCTCACAAAGAACCAGGCAGGCAGCTAGGTATGGAGACACACGCTTATAATCTCAGCACTGGGAGTGCCAGGAAGACTATGAGTTTGGGGCCTGCCTAGAGCTATACAGTAAGTTCTAAGCAAATATAAGCTACACAGTGAGGTGCTGTTTAAATATACAATAACAACAAACAAAATAAAACAAACAACAGGCAGGCAATTCGCTGTATGCTGAGGAAGGAAAGAAGATACTGTCCACGCCCTCTAGGAACTCATAGGTTATCGGCAAATGTAGGACAAGGAACAAATACGCAGAATACAATACAATGTGGTAAGTTCCATGGTATGAATACAGCAGGAAATGTGTGGAGCATGAGGTGAGTAGAGTCCACTGTGTTCATTCAGATTTTACGGAAAATCTTCAAATTTTCCATCTGATATTTAAATCTTCACTCCGTAACGTGCAGTTTGCCCAAAAAATAAATAAAATGTATATACACTTCAGCAGTTCACTGTACTAATAAAAGTCTGGAAGCTAATGGTCACCATTCTGAATATGAATATATATTCCCCCCAAAATAATTGAAAGTAGGGTCTCCAAAAGACGAAAAGATACCGTATGGTTTCACTTATCTGGAGTATTTAGCACATTCAAACTCACAAAACAGAAAGTAGAATATTTTTACCAGGAGGTATGGGATGAGGGACTGTGAAGTTGTTTAATGAGTACAGAATTGCAGTTTGCAAGAGAAAAAAAGTTCTGGATACTGGTGCATTCAACATGATAGACTTAGCACTACTGAACTGTACACTAAAGAATGGCTATGATGGTAAATATGTGTATTTGACCACAATGTTTTTAAAGTCTCGTTTGGTAACACAGATGAATAGAGTGCATCTATATCAACATTCAGTTTTGTAACATTCTGGCCCAGGATGAGCAGGTCGTGGTTTCAGCACATGATGTGAGGTGAAGAGGAAGAAGGGATCTGATTTGAGCAGATGCATAATTCACCTCTGAGTTCCGTTAGATGCCACCCACTCATCAAACAGCTTCATGGCAGCAGTACTGCAGTTTTCCAGGTTGTGGGTGCAAGCAAATTCCAGCAAGACTGTGCGAAGCTCTCGCGTGGATAGGGTGCCCTCATCAGTCCAAGTCTGTTGTCGGATTTGGTTTTGAAGCAATTTATGTACCCTGGCCTACAGAGACAAATAGATTAAAATACACTAATAGTAATTTGGACAATCAGAAAAATCTGGACTACTGTATCTCTTTCCCTCACTAAGGAGAAAAAAGCATAAGTATTATTCATTAAATATCAGCTGACCCATGAAAACCATGTACAGCTGGAATAAGACCTTTCAAGAGAAAAAGACTACACATAAGGTTAGTTATAGCCAAGGAAGGCTTTGGCTTTCAAGGATACAACTCAGAAAACATTAACAGCATTCACAGAGCAGAGAAATATTATGCTATATATACTAGGTTAGAAGTTATTTATCTGTCAAAAAGTATTACCTATAACCACTGCTGGAAGTTGAAATTTTCTGATCCTATGACTTTAGAATCCATAAATTCATTAAGAAAAAAGAAAAATATATTTCTTTACTGATGGTTTAAAAGTTTCTGAATCAAATATTAAAAGAACATTTAACATATTAACTAGTTTGATGCTATAGCAAATTAATTTAATCAAATTAGCCAAAAAATAAAATGAGGGCTGCAGGATGTAATAGTTGTTCATAGTCCATTTCCTCCCAACTTTTTATGTAACATTTTAAAAACTATAGAAAAATGCAGCAATAGTGACTTTCCATATGCTGTTCATCTACATTTAATTTTTTGCATCATTTGCTTACTGTATATAATGCTATATACTGTATATAATGCCTACATTAGCTGAAACATATGAATAAGCCACAGATATCTTATTTGATTTATAGTTAGTTTTCAACTACCAGAAATAAGAACATCCTCCTACATAATTACAAGAACTTATCATACTTAAGAAAATTGATAATTATTCAGTAATATCATCTACTACCTTGCTCAGTCCAGTGCCATAGCTACTGCTGAATAGGATGTAACTGCAAAAGGTATACTTGTATTAAGGAATCAGAAATAAATGTTTTCATTTCTCTCCTTTGTCAATACCTAAGATAAATCTTATTTGGAGAGTTTTAACTCTTTTTGTTGCTGTTGTTGTTGTTGTTGTTGTTGTTTTTGAGACAGGGTTTCACTATGTAGTTGAGATTGACCTGGAACTCACAATGTAGCCCAGGGTGGTCTTGAACTCACAGTGATCCTCCTGAGTGCTGGGATTACAGGTGTGCGCCACCATGACGGGCGTGGAGAATTTTAAACTGTTTAGGCTGTTGTCATTAGCAGATCATCTCTGAACCTTTGAATAATTCTCTTGAGCTGAACAAAAGAATGGGAAAAAGAGCCTGTGCAAAAAGGACTCAAAGTTTGTGATAGTATGTCAACCTGCCTTTGTTGGTTTCTAAAGCAGTGCAATAGTGAACAAATACCTTGAGGAATGCATAAGTGGTAAAGCTTGAGAGTTACTGGGAGGATATAAGGTGGAAAAACACTTGCCCTGCTGATTGATAATGCAAGAAAAATAAAAGCATTGCAGCAGATCTCACTGGATACACCTGACTGTGTGAGTACATGCTGTCTTCAACTGGCCTGACCTTTCGAAAGCACAGCAATACAAACTGCCCCAAATGATGGAAGAATAAAAGAGACTTCATAGCTACTCATCAACTTCAAGGAGAAACAAAGAATATAAAAAGGGAAAAGTTACTTATTTAAAATTCTGCATTTCTAAAAACTCAGTGGAGAACCATGGAGAGGCTCACTGAGAATTTATAAAAACCCAAAGAGCTAGTGGAACAAAAAATAGCACTTTAAAGTACTACAAGGAAAGGAAACCTGGTGCTTGATGATGCTAAGCTAATTCCTTACATGACACCATTGTACCAGTGGAATTTCAGGGTGCAATTCTGCTAGTTTCTATATAAAATCATTAAAAGAAATTCTCTGAACAGCTGGTTTTAAATATACTTCAAATTTTAATAAAAAATTTATTGAAAAAATATTGCTTTTAGAAAAATCATCCTGTTACAAAATATAATCATTTTAATATGTAATTTACATTGTATGGCAGATAGTCCTAAAAATTACCTTTCCCTTTCAGAAATAAAATGTAATCCATTTTTCTACAGTTGCCAAGTTAATTTTTAAAATTTAATCTCATTAAATAATAGCATCTAACTTTACAATTTAATACATAAAAATGGCAAATATGGAGAGAGAACAGATGAACAGGTTATATAAGCTACAAACACTGAATATGCCCTAAAATGCAACAACAATAACACAAAATGGTTTTAAAAATAAAACAGACAAGAAAAAATGCTGGCACTTATGTTATATATTACATTTTGATTTACTACTTTAATTTTACACCGATACACCCAGGGAGTTCTTTCCTGGGTCAACTGGGTTCTTTAAAGTGATATATCAGCTTTTATTGAAAAAGGTTTATCCTACCAATGCCTCAAATGTAAAAGGATGACAGATCTGTAAGTGATAAAACAGAAATATGGCTAGGATCAGACATTAACATCAAATGTGAAGAATTCGACACAGCTCAAACGTGCCCACCACAACACCATGGCACACATCACAAAATGCAGCATACATCATGTGCAGCCACATAACAAAATTAGCAATAAATTTACAGAGTGCTCTGGGTACAATAACACGACATTTGATTAGACACTAATCTTAAACACTAATACTCAGAAACATCTGCCACCCTAATTCCAAACATTTTACAGTGTTTTGGATACTACCAGAATGCCCTAAAAGCAGAGTAAGAACTTTAAAGAAATAGCTTCTCTCTCTTGACGAATTAAAGCCAATTTGGTTTTTAGCTAGCAATATGAAGATTCACAGCAGTGAATGAGACCCTAATTTTAGAAACACACATTAAGCATCTCACTCTTGCCATCAGTCGCACCCTGCAGTGTGTAGTATATTAGGAGCATACTGCTCCTAATAAAACATGCCTGCCCAGAAAACTGAAAATCATCCAGGATGAAGATGGAGTAGGAAGAAGAGTTACTTGAGTGCCAATAGGACTCAATTCTTTGAACTGAGTTTAATATCTGTATTTTCAGCATAGGCTAGGTTTGAGGTGTGTATCTAAGACTAAGATCTAAACAGAGTTAATGGGTGGAGGGAGAATGGCTTCTGGCATCATGAAACTAAACTAGCTGCTGAACTTGTGAGTAGGCAAACATTGTGCCTTCACTTAGGGTATATTCAAACACAACACCACCCAATAGTGGGAGAAATACATGGCATATACTAATCGTACTTATTGCTACCTGTACTAGGTTGATAGAGCCCCCTTCCATACATGTTACCTGGAACGTGAAAATCTAATCTTACATCTAATCTTTTAGTTATAATCAAGTTAAAATGAGATCTGAGTCAACACTACTCTAATCTAATGACTGGCATGCTCACAAGAACTGAGAAATGTGAGATCCAGAAGCAAAGGAAGAAAGCCTTGTTGACAGAGGCAGGTCTTGGAGTGATGGATCCACCCAGGAGATACAAAGGACTGTTGGCAACCTCCTAAAGTTAAGAGAAAGGCAAGGAATAGATTTTACTGTAGAAGATACAAATTATCCTACCAACACCTTGTTTTTGGCCTTCTAACCCCCACAACTGCGAAAGAATAGACTTCTGTTAATTTAGACATGGTATCTGTTAATAGCTTACTATATAAGCTCTAGGAAAGTAATATACTATCTCAATTGGTATTGATTTGGTATGACATTAATCATCTCCAAAGACAGTCTATAGTTAACGGAAGTAAATACAGAATATTTTAGTGAAGGCAAAGATTTCATATATTAAAGTACGTTAAAATTTAAAGTTTCTATTGATCAAAAAATCATTAAAAGAGCTCAGCAAATATATATGACCAACAAAAGATTCATACCTAGGATATATAAAGAACTTTTATATATCAATAAGACAAAAAACAGGCAGTTTACTAGGAAAATAAAAGACTAAGGCAATTTATAAAAACAGAGAACATCCTAATAGTCAATAAACAATAAAATGGTCAATAAAGATTAAAAAATTAATCTTCATCAGCCAGCAGAAAATATGTATTTGTTACCAAAACTGCAACACTGGTATACACTCTCCAAATGACTAAAAGGAAAAATGTTTTATCATGAGTAGTAAGCAATGGCAGGGATATAGAGCACCTAGACTTTGTAGACACTGATGCTGGGAACGTAAATTGGTACAACTATAAAAACTATGTGACATATAGGACTATGCATGTTATAAAGTATCAATTTCATTTCCAAATGCACACCACAAAGAAATTCATATATTCATATACAAGAATATTCATAATGGTATTTCTATTATAGGTCCAAAATATAAAAAATCCTTACGCCCGACAAATAGCAGCTGAAATGGTTCCAATCTCCTTAGTACCAGCAACGGAAAGTTTATGTTGAAGCCTCAGTTTGCCTTAAAGAGACTAGTAATCTGCATATTGTTTTTGCTAAAGTGCACAAAATACTTTAACCAATAGTAACATTTTAATTACAAAAAAACTCACTAGTTGACAACTTAATTTTCAAGTAAATAACTAACTACATGGGTGTTTGTCCTTTTAAATCTTAAATATATGATCTACAAATCTTTCCAAACTACTTTAATATAAAATCTCAGCTTTAAAAAGAAAATAAATCGTAACAAAAAGGTATCCTGGAAAGATGTCATTGCTAGAATACAAATTACAGTAATTTAAAATGTAACAATATATCACAGAGAGTAGACTATGCAGTAAAACTAATCTGGGTTTGAATCGTAGTTTTGTAATTTACTAGGTAAGTGACTTTGGGGAAAGTCATTTAGTCTCCTCACTTACCTAATGCGGATAGAAAAGTCTATGTTGGCAATGTGTAAGAATTAAATGAAATAATCTACACTAAACACTGAGAGTATGTAGAATGCACTAAGCACTCAGATGCATTTGTTTCTGGTGTATTTCACTTGACATTTATTGAAGGTCTTTGTGAATCAGGTCATGTTCCAGGTACAGGTTTCTCCCAAGGCTGCTAGTTGAAAGCCTTGTGAAATAGAATAATAAAAATCTTAACATTAGAAGCAGGCTCAGAAGAAATCTTACTTAAGCATGGGCAGGGATGGTGTACCTCCTTTGGAGTCAAACCAGAAGCTTGTGTGCCTGTGTGCATGGGGGATGCTTTTGCCTTTTTGTCATGAATTCTCTCTCCTCTGAAAATGACAAAGAACTCACCACAGAAGATATGCAGTGGGTCAGTATGTCATAAAGGCAGAAGAAAGGCTGTGTGTGTGTGTGTCTGTGTGTGTGTGAATATTTTTTTTCCTCATTGAATTTACTGGTACTTTTTAGGTATACAGTACAGTTAACATTCATCACTGGGATCTTGTACCTTTACAGTCAAGTCTTGGTTCTCATTTTTAAAAATGATTTAACCCAACCCCTTCTTTTACCAGTGAAGATACCAAAACCCTAAAGGACTTACTCTAATTCCTGATCCAATACTTTCTTCCTTTTCCTAAAAGGGCCTTTTGCCTGAGTCCCTGGAAAATCTGATTTTAAAAGCAAACCCTGCTATCATTATATGCTGAATGAATTAGATAAAGATAATTTATCATCCCATTCCTAGCTTTAAAGACAGCATATAATTTAATACTGCAAGTGTCTAAATAACAACTGTTAAGACCAGGCAATCAGATCTAGGAAAGGTAAAGTCTCCAATAACAAGGCTTCTTTAGTTACTGCTGAAATACTCCACCCAATGGAGAGAAGCTGGCCAGACTCATGAGCAGGATATTCTTAGTGCAAACATACTACAATGACCACTACTAGAAAATTAATGGAGATGCCTATTTTGCAAAAGGGCCTATATAAAACATTCATTACATAAAAGAGAAAAGATTTCAAATAGAGAAATTTGCTTTTTATTTTTGCTGTTTTGACAGCGAGTATCTAAAGTCTGTAGCCTGACATTCAAGTAAGACTACTTCCTACTAAGCCTTTATCAACTCTTAATGGTAAACAATGGCATTTTGAGTCAAAGTAAAGATTTCACAATCAGCAAAGTAAAGAAAATGGATTTTAAGTGATTGTTTTTTCAGCCCACTGAGTGAATTGCGAATAACAATATTAAAGATAGGAAACAAGAGAAACTGGCAAAAAGGCAGTCTTACCACCAGTCTTGAGGCCAGATCCATGTGCCCCAGTTTTTCAAGGAGGTGAAAGATGAGGCCCGTCTGGAACAGGGCTTCAGTGATAGGCGCAGTGTTATTCTCATTTTTAAGGTAATCAATCAAATCAAAGGCCCTCTGAAGAGGCACCTTGCCTAGGCTACAGGATAAAAGAAAGGAAAAGTGAATACATCGAGATGCCCAGAGATACTCTATGCATGCTAGAAAACTATGTATCTAGATGGTGAGTCTTGAAGATGAAACATTTAAGCTTAGAGTGCCATTCTGCAGTTAGACCTGATATTATCGTCTGTAAGTTCATGTGGACCATGGTTAAAGATGTACTGCAAGAGAAAGATACAAAACAGCTCACCTTTCTGTTCCATAAGTCACCTGTAAGTTGCTACTGATTCAGTAAAAGTATCACATCTATTTATTAAATTGAGAGGAAAAGAAATGGTATAGAATGCTTGAATTGGAAAAAAAAAGTTTTGTTGTATGAGAAATTTGACAAACTTATTAAAGACAAGGTCCATTGTGAATTTACATCTTAAAAATTAACTATCTTGTAGAAATAACAGTAATGGCAAATATAAGGCCATTTCACAATAAATTTACCAAAATGAGATGGTCAGGAGTGGTCATAGGAAATTCTCTTGAGTGTTCCTCCTGCTTCCAGGTCTACTACCAACCTTAACTGGTAATCTGTTCAGAGCATATCTTTATTATTGGTTTTGTGATTCGATAATGTGTAAAGGGTTGGGAAGGCAAACAGTACACAGATAAAGACACTTCAGCTATCAGAAGTGTTGGTCAAACCAACCAGTAAGTACTGAGCTTTATGTGGGGGCCAACTGTTGCTTGAAAAGAATTCTCTCACAAAACAAAACAAAGCTTAAAGTCCTAAGTAATGTATGTAGCAAAATATGCAGCCCTGGTTGTTTTATTTAACTGTTTAATACATTTGTAGCTGATGTTTCTTTCTTCTTCTATTTGTTTGTTTGTTGAGACAGGGTCTCGCTATGTAGTTCTGGCTGGTTTTGAGCTCACTATGTAGGCCAGGCTGGCCTTGAATTTTTATCCACAGTGCTAGGATTACAGCCATGTACCACCATGCCCAGATGATGTTTTTAAACTCCCAGAAAGCAAAGAACCTGTCTTATATTTGTCTAATCATCCAAATGAACTGCACCCAACAGTCTATACATACTATTTAAACTGTTTTTCTGAAATATTCTTTATATCAATAACCCTTGTTTAAAAGACAGTACAGTACTACAACCCAATCCAAAATACTCTACCCTGCAAGTTCAAAGATGTTGTTGATGAGGCTGGCTCGGTCTTTGTCACTCAGGACATAAGGATTTCTTTTCAGCTGTTGGATGAGTGCGGCCCAGTCATCGTCTTCATAGTGCACAATGTAATAGCCAGTCATGTTTGCATTGACTTTGACCCATTGCACTTGCTCTGTAAGATTGATGGTACCTATGACAGATCATAAATGAGACTTTCAGAGAGAACAATTTGGTACGAAACAATTTTAAATAAGTGCTTTCTTTATTTCAAAGTTGACATGGCATGTTTTTATATTTTACTATTTTAGTAAGAAACTAGATGCCATTTTTGTGTACCTATTTTCACCTAAATGAAGATCATCACTCATTCCAGAATTAGTTATTTTCTGAGCACTATTGGGTCTGTACTAGGCACTGGAGAGCAAATGGTGAACAAGGTAAATATGACTCTGCTTTTATGGTTTAACAGAGCGATGGGGAACTTTTTAGAGTTTACAATGGTAGCAGTCACCTGTAGGAAGCATGCCATCAGCTCACCATCACTGGATAAGTACAACATTACACAATGCCATTGATATAAAAATGATATTGATGGCAGTGCACATAAGAAATGTTTCACTCAGTAGAAGGTCAGGAGAGGTTTCTTTGAAGAAATGACATCTAAGTTGTCATTTTTCTAAGTGACTTCAGAATATAGTAAAGGCATTAGCATGGTGAAAAGTGTTAGTAGGAACATAAGTGTTTAAGGCCCAAATGTACATGACATCTGTCCAGGGACCTGACTCCCACATTCATTATGACTGGAAGAGAGACAAGAGGAAGAAAGGAAATCATGTGCAGAGTCCGACAGCAGGGGAAACAGTGAGAGGTTATGTAAGATGCTTTCCAGCTCAGTCTTTGTTTTTTTTATGTTAAAAAAAGAAGAACAGAGCCAAGTAGAAAAGCTACATAACTCAAAGCTAGCAAAATAAAGGGAAAACTTAAAAGTTTCATTAGTAACAAATACATAAAAACTGAGTTAAAAGTGGTATGTGCTATTTGGAGGATCCCTATCGTTACATATATAAATATTGAGAGAACTATTAGAAATTTTATAGAATTTTTTCAACTAATATAAAAACAACAAGGAGCTAACTTACTATAAGATAGAAGTATGAATTTTAAAACGCCTTAAAATTACTAATCAAGAAATATTTTTAAATTTGTCAAAAAGAATGTGGATTCAATATAATTGTGTTTCTAATAAGCATCTTGAGGTTTGCTATTTATTAGAATATAAACCCCACAGGCTTACTATTTTGTTCACTGCTAAATATCCCAGCCTCTAGAACAATGTATTTAAAAAGGCATTAAAAAATTGAATGCAATGAAAAAATAACTATCATGGAACATAGTTTCAAATCGTATCTAAACAAGTTGTAGAGATCTGAAATGTAATTTTTGCTCCTATATCTAATGAGTATTTTAAAAATTGTTAAAATTAAAAAGAATAGAGATTAGAATAATAATCTTAACTGAGACAAGCATTTTGAAGACTATTTCCAGTCAAGCTTTTTCCCACTTAACTACCACAGTTTAAACAATCTCCTATTTTTGAAACATTTAGATTGTTTTAATATTTTTTATTGTAATACTTCTGTAACAAAATTTTTTGTATACAAAATGCTTTAGAATCACATTTTAAATTGAAGAATTATACATCAGTACCTGAAGCTTTAGGGTTTATTAATCCAAAAGCATGAAATATTAAAATTCATTAGATTCTCTTAATATCTTTGAAACTCCAATCCTATTGATACTGCAAAAGATATCTAAGATGGTTAAGGTACTCTGATCACATCTTAACAGGATATATCAGTTCAGTAGTATTTTTCATTAAAAAATTCCATACTATTTCATCTTCAGAATTAAGGATTATTTTAATCTTACATCATTGCCTTTTCTCTTTTACTTTCCTTTTTAGTTTGATTTTAGGATTCCCTATTTTTAATGTTCATACAGAGATTTATTTAACTGAAATAACAAATAGTTTCTCTGGTGTGAAAAACTATAATAGTACACAGGATCCTAATGAGATAATTAAAAATGTGAAATAGGAAGTAAAGGGCTAAAGGTGTAGGGAAAGTGGGAAGGGTGGGGGAAAGGTAATAAGGGAGAGGAAAAAAATGAGAAATTGAAAAAATGGAAATAAAGTGTTTGTAAATGTGGAGGGGAAGAGGGGGTGAAGGGAGGGCAGGGACAAGGGGAAAAAATGAGAATCAAGACCTGTCATGTGAAGGTACAAGATCCCAATAACGAACGTAACAGTATTGTATACCTAGATTGTACCAATAAACTCAATACAAAGAAAATGAAAAAAAAATTCCATATTACATTATGTTGTATTGCTGATACAGCAGCAGGTGGGAAAGATTGATTAAATAGGTTTATTCCCTTTTCAGAGCAGGATACTGTTCTAAGGAATATTTGCCATGGCAACAGTAGCTGCTTCAAGTTGGAGCCATTTTAAACAAACTTTATCACTAATGAAATTAACTTTATTATGAGCTAGTTAAAACAACAACAACAACAACAATAAAACAAAAACATTGTCCAGGTCAACAAACATAATCTCCCATAGAGCCTTTTTCCAGAAAAGTCCTTGGGAAGAAAGGGGGCACAGCCCAAATCTCCACTGCCCAAAAAAGGAGACAAGAAATGGTAAGCATGACAACTGTTTCACTGGATGGATGGAGAAATCATGGAGTACTGAGTACCCTGGCTGATAAGCAAGTTACCATGCTGTAAACCTTTCCAAGCCCAGATGGTAGCGAAGAGGAGCACAGCAGGGAGTGAAGCTATTGCTGCCATCAAGTTGACAGAACATACGCAGTGAAGACAACAGCACAGAAATAAGAGCTATCACTTAAAGAATCAATGTGTTAGTCTCTTTCTGGTCTTTTGAATGATCTAGAACACAGGACCTTAAAACAAGTATTAAGAAATAATAGTTTTGAACACAAAGGAGGTAACTATATCCCAGAGCTCAAATGTGGATGAGGCTACCTTCATATGTTTTTAATTATAATCCTTAAATGATTAATAGTTTAATTTTCACAGTTCAATCAGTAGTAAAAACGAATGAACAACTCCAATTTTAAATGTCAAAAACTCAGATGAAGCAATATGACTGTGATTTTAAAAAGCCATTTGTCAATGAAATATGAAAATGAATTACTGTTTCACAAAGACACATTAAAGCATTGAAACAAAAACTATGTTTTACTACAAAGTTACAAAATTTGATGCCTAATTTGTTCCAGAGGACTCTATGTCCAACCACATTCTCCTTGTTAAAAAGCATTCCTTTCTCTAATATCCTTTCCTTTCTCCTTTGTATTACTAGGGAGGAAAAAGGTAAAAGCAGAGACCGACATAAGATAAATTTCTTAATTATATACCCTTTCTTATTCTTTCTCCCCAATTGTCTTTCTCTCCAATGACATATCTTTTAGTTTCACAGAAATATTTCTGGAATGGTGATATGCTTTCAGAAACATAAATGTTTGATGTTAGGTTTAAAATAAATATCTCCTATAGTTAAAGACTTTAGGTTTGAGTAAGATGTTGATCCAGGTGAAGGAGGGAGAAAAAAAAGGAGAGCACAACACTGTTTTGTGGTAATGTCTTTAATGTGAAGCAATGAAAATCAGCCTAATTTTGCTCTTTTAATGCACAATACATAATTGTTCAAAATTCATGTATATGGAGTATAGTGACGAAGATATTGACAAAATGTAACTCTATCTATTATAACTGAAAGAGTGATGGATTATCAGCATTAGAAAATATATGAAAATTAAAATATATGAAATTAGAATTAGAAAATTAGAATATATACAATTAGAATATATGAAAATACACTACCATATTTAACAAGTTATTAAAATTATATACTGTAGTAAAGTCATATGTCATAAAATAAACCTGGAATCACACACTGCGATATTCCTTTTGAGAACAGAAAAAAATGAAAATGCAATTAAAGTAAGAGCAATTCTCATTGGAGTATCAGGAACTAAGAAGATTCAATCGTTCTCAGCATCAAATTGTTTTGTATGAACAGACATTTTCAATGTGGTCTCTCGAAACCTGAAGTAGCAAAAATTAAAACAGTAGAGGCAGCAAGGAAAATAAGCTGAGAAGAGATACAGCTTTCATCATTTAATGGCCGACCTACAGCTCTGGATTAAACCAATTATATCATAAGACATTTTGCATATTTTTTCCTAAGGATCTTTCAAATGAAGGCAAATAAGATATTTTATCAGGCTTTGACTTTTCTTTTCCTAGAATTTTTTGTGGCTGAATTTGAAATTGAGTCAATTCATTATAGACTAGCATTTATTCATTCACTCAATAAATTAGTACAAGTCTACTGAGTGCTAAGTTTACAAAAGTGACTCATAGCCACAATCCTTACCCTCAGGGGAATATATCTAACATGGGGATAAATATAAGTAAAATAGTACCTACAGTAAATTACAAGTAGGAAATATTACAGAAATACATAAATAGGGCATCAACCTTGTCTTGGGATGAGGGAAGATTTCCTGTGGTAAGCAGGGGCTGAGTTATGATCTGAAAATGAATGGGAGCTGAAGGGAGTGGGAATCGAGGGTGTTTTTTGAGGAGTGAAAAGGGCATAAGCAAAGGCCCAGAGACAAGTATGGGTTGAGTTGCTGAAAGAGTTTTTGTGCAGCAAAAGCAAAGACCATCAGGTAAGGGTTCAGAAAGAGAAATCTAAAGCTAGTCCTTATGGTATGAGCCTAAAAAAGAGTGCAATAAGCTTACATGTAAACTAAGCCTATATTAAGAACAAAGAGATAGAAGCAAACTTCTTATTGTTCAATTATTTCTAATACAGCAAAAAATTAATAATACTAACGGGAGTTTGCAAAATTTCCTTACTGATTTCTTGTAAACATTCTAGTCATGTTGTTGCTGTGCCGTTAGACATAAGACAAGGTCATTTGTTCTCTCTGCGGCCAAAGGGTTCTTCTTGGGCCCACATAAAAGTTCTAGAGTTTGGTTTCACCAAAGAAGGCAGCACTTCCCGGGATCCACAGCCATGCTATATTAATCAAAGCCAGGATGACACCATTGACTGCTCCTCAGGCTTTAAATGATAAGATTGCCATCGAGGCTGTCACTATTAACACTCTGGTGCAGTTTGCTAACTGCAACAAAAGTGGCACATTCATACACATAAGATAGCACTGTCAACTGTTACCTTACAACAGGGGCAATTTAGTTCCATGTCTCAGGGTAACACAGTCCTCGTGTTTTGAGAAGCATTTCCAATAAAAAGTTCATATAAAGAAAAAAATTAAGATTCAAAATTTTTATTGGGGAATGTTTTAAATAAAGACAAAGGGTGAATTGAGTGTCTCACAGGCAAGCCAAGTCAATTACTATGTAACTTTTTTAAAAAGGCAAGATACAAAAATCACATTTATGTAAGTACTTCAACCAAGTATTTTTAAAATGACTGGAAAGAAATAATCAGGAGAGTAGTTATGGCAGGATAATAAGATTTGGTTTTCATTTTCCAAATTTTGTGTAAAGTGGATATATTATGAGATTTATATAGATATACAAATAATATTAGTGATAATAAATATTTATAAAGCACAAAACACACACAAGATGCTATTTTAGGAACTTTACATGAATCAACTCAAATAACCCTTGCCACAACTCCATAAGGTAAATATAATGACCATCTCCATTCTGTATTTGAAGGAATGAGGCTCAGAGATGTCACATAATTCACCAAAAATCCAGAGCCAAGAAGTGAACAACATGGCTCCAAAATCAGGCCCTAAATTTACCTCTCAAAAACATATGCTTGAACACCAGATCTAAATTCAAATAGAATTTTTCCCTTTTACTTAAATCTAAAGCATCATTAATGGCTTCTACAGAGCTGAAGAGCCTCGCTATTTCAAGACAGATTAAGAGGATACATAGTGTGGCACATCGCAGTGGTATTTGATAAGATGGTCACAAGCTACACTTCCACTGCTTTTTAAAAACAACTTGTGGGTTACCATATACAGCTGACTGTCCCTTACCTGAAATACTTGAGACCAGAAGTGATTGAGATTTGTGTTTTTGTTTTTTTTTTTAAGATACTGGAGATTTTTATAGATTTTACTGGGTGAGTACAGCTAATTTTGAAGTCTTCAAAATCTGAAACATTCTGAATGTCATGTTGGAGCTCAAAATGTTTCAGATTTTGTATTTTTGGATTAAGGGTACTCATCCTGCTGCTTCTTTGTTTTATTATCTTCCTCCTCCTTGCTATGACATTCTTGTCCCATCTTCTCATTACCAAAAATATATGTTCTGTCTGCAGGACATACTGATTATTTACTCTAAATATAGGCCTTGAATTGACCTTTATTGTACACATAAATCATCTAGGAGACTTGTTAAACTGCAGTTGCAATAGCTCACCCTTAGAAAGCAGACTGCAGATAGCATGTTTTAAGAAACTGCTCTACTTCTATTACTATGAAGTTTTTAAGATTAAATATTACCCAGGGGATGAAAATAAAACATTTGCTATTATCTAGGTTCTACCAGGACTACCAGGACATTCCTTGCAACTTTTGGTATGTACTTCTTATGGGTAAAGGCCCTTTTATATACCCACAATCAGTTTCACTTTACAAAGCCAGTTCAGAGAGTATACACAATGGGATGTGTAATATCTTATCTGCTCTTTAGTCTGCTTTTAAAAATTATGCTTTTTGCAAGTGTAAAAAAGGATCGAAAGGTACAATAATGTGAAATAGGAAGAAAAGGTCCAAAGGGGAAGGGGAAGTTGGAGGGGTTGGGGAAAGGAAAGAAGGGAATGGAATTAATGTGAGAAAAGGAAAAAAATGGAAACAAAGTCTTTGTAAATAGGATGGGTGGAGGGGTCGAAAGGAGGGCAGGGGAAGGGGGAAAAATAAGAACCAAGATATAGTATACAAAGGTACAAATTTCCAACGATGAATGTCATTATACTGTATACCTAAAATGTACCAATAAAATTTTAAAAAATTATGCTGTTTGCAATTTCTTATCAGAAAGGTATTAATTATAGTCAGACCTGATTTCTTGTCCAGTAATGATACTGCATGATATTCTGAATAATTTTTTCCATCAGTAACATAAGATATTGGAATATGCCAAAGGTAGCTGTAAAAAAAATATTGTAAGATTAGCTCTTTCTAATATCTCAGCATGAAGATGAAATTTTAAAAGCTATTCCCAGATAGGGATAATACTGTTAGGTTTTTGTAAAAGCTTATGATTACAAAACATTTAAAAATCCTAAAGAAAAAAAAAGAGATTGAATAGAATGAAAGATTATATGTACTTTGCATCTGCAGTCTGAACTTCAGGTTTCATACTTAAGAAGAATCTCTCTTGTTTTATAGAGAGTTCCATTCCTTTCCTGTGAACAGTCACTAAAGGAAATCCTTTCTGCAGAGTCCAGGTTTTCATCATTTTCTTTACATCTAGAGTTTTGTTTGTAACCTATAAAAGAAGAATAAATATTTTTGCTTAAAGATAAAATTTAATTTACAGTTTCTATGATTTAATTCATCTATACCTTTTCCCTACTTCATTTTATAGACTACAATTAAGGTTAGTATTAAAAAGCCATTGATGCTGAGTTGAATTTATATTTCTAATCTAGATAAAGAGAGAAACTTACAAGTGAAAAGTAATCTGGAACAGAACTGAGTGATAACTAAGGATGTGAGAAACAGATTACATTGAAAAGCAATACATATGAGATCAACCAATAATTCACTAAGATCAACATCCTTGAAGCTGGGTATGGTGGCACACACCTGTAATCTCAGCACTCAGGAGGCTGAGGCAGGAGGATCACAAGTTTGAGCCCAGCCTAGAATACATAGTGAGTTCAAGGCCAGCTGGAAATACAGAGCAAATCTCTGTCTCAAAAAAACAAAAAAGATTAACATCCTTAGCCAGGCATGGTGGTTCATGCCTGTAATCCCAGCACTCGGGAGGCTGAGGCAGGAGGATCGCTGAGAGTTCCAGACCAGCCTGGGCTCCACAGTGAGTTCCAGGTCAGTCTCAACTACATAGTGAGACCCTGTCTCAAAAAACCAACAGTATCAAAAAAAGATTAACATCCTTAGCCAGGCATGGTGGTTCATGCCTGTAATCCCAGCACTCGGGAGGCTGAGGCAGGAGGATCGCTGAGAGTTCCAGACCAGCCTGGGCTCCACAGTGAGTTCCAGGTCAGTCTCAACTACATAGTGAGACCCTGTCTCAAAAAACCAACAGTAACAAAAAAAGATTAACATCCTTAAATTTGTTGAGATTAAACTCCCGAAGAAGGTACAAGCACTCTATCAAGTCATATTACTACAAAATAGAAGATATGACTAAAATGCATTCTAGAATGGCATTGCTACTAGTACTGTGAATCAGGCAAGCCCAGGTTTCTTTTTATTCTTCTACCCTCTGCCTTCTAAGTATTCATTTTTAAAGACTTAATCCTGTGGGACTGCCAGGAAGCAGAAGTAGCACAAGAGTCAGTTCCCCTAACTAAATTTCTTTAGAGAGCACTGGTAAAACTTTGATGACTGCGGATCTTCTTTTCTAGAAAGCACATGACCTTATCTGCAAAGCTAGTGTCTAGTGTCAGAAGTTTATAGACCTTTAAAGCCCACACTCATCAAGACATGTGGTATCAATGATTACACATAGATTTGAAAAAATCCATGTGCCTAAATTTATAACATTACACCATTACAGGAGGCCTTATCACAATCATCATAGGCCCATTTATTTAAAGCACAAAAGAATGGAGCAATTCTTCCCTAATTCATTGTGATATTAATCTTGTATTTCTCATATGTCTTACGCATTTACTTCTAGACAAGAGGTTGGGAAGAAAAGCAAGGTATTTTTAGGTGTTTGAAGCAGTACTGAAATGAAGAGGCCACTGCATTATTTATTGTGGATGCTGAAAGCACTGAAGATATGAAGATTATGAAGATACTGTTAAGTAGTAGGTTGGGATCGGACAACATCATGATGCAAAAACTGAGTCAGAGTGCAAGGCAGAAATATGTTCTAAATGTCCAGAGATAAGACAATGGGTATAAAGTAAGTAACATGACTTTCAACTGAAATGCTACTATATGATTAGGATATTCAGAGAGTAAGGAAGATACATCTTGGCACAAGAAGTTAATAGCTACAAAACACTAAGATTCAGATCAGGTAAGGAAACAGGAAGTATATAGGGGAAAAATCCAATGCAAGGGTTTTTAATCCATCATGCATAAAACTTTGAAACTGTGTTAAAATACGTGGTTTTTCTGGGGGACAGATCCAGATTATTCATCAATTTTTCAACTACATCTGTGATCTTCCAGAACAAGAAGAAAAATTTATCTAGAGCAGAATAACAAACTCAAATGCTTATCAGGGTTGTTCAACATACACGCATGAGGCAGACTGGGTTCATGCACTGCTTTGAAGCATAACTGCTATATAATGATACAGCTTGTTAGAGCATTTGTAGGCATAAAAAAATCCAAAGAACAAAATGACCTAACAGCAGTATGCAGCTCATGACACTCAGCTTGTGATACATCATCTACTGAAGAGTAATCTGGATTCAAAAGATAAGAGATTCATAGGGAACCATGTAGAACCAAGAATGAAAGGTAGAAAAACCAGAAGAATGGGGCAAGTTTTTTGAAGAAAGATCCAATTTCAAAAATACAGTAATATCTATGAATACAGAGAAAACTTTCTAATAAATTCGGAATGATCATTAAGATATAAAATAATAATAGCCCCACTGTTTTCAACAAAAAAACAGTTACACTCCCATTTCTTGACTTTAAAATCAGTATTCTATTCACAAATATTTATATACCAAGCTCCATCAACCTATTTCCTAAATAACTATCCTTGGCATCCTAGACTCATTAACTTATGTGATAAAAATATAAACAGAAGAGTTCTTTCAATAAGAAGTCAGGACTTAAGTAAACTAACCAGGTCACTTACCTCATTAAAGCTATCCCACAAATCATCACTCTGAATGGATGCATAGCTATGATTATGTAGGTAAAGAATAAGGGCGTGTTGAAATATGTCTTCACTAAGGTAGGTTTTCAGCATCAGCAAGAGAGAAGCTCCCTATACAAAAAAAAAGGTGAGGAAAAAGGCAGAAATTTTATAGGTTACAGTATTGAAAAACTAAACTTCAAAATAATCATTCTAAACATGTACTTTTATATATGTTTTGGTAATCTCCTATAGGTCAACATCAACTCTATTCAAATTATCTTAACATTAAGAGATTTGAAAAATAATTACTAGAATTCCTATGTGTACTAATTCTACCATGAATCCTTGTATCTGATCAGTATACTGTTTCAAGTGTTAACAGTGACATGCTCAGTATTTATAAATATATTTTAAATTAAAAATACTAAATTTTCTATGGCATCCTCAACCCATCCCCAATGCTTAAATATCAGTTGAATCCATGAGGCTATGCTGCCACAGACAAAATAAATTAGCAGAGCTCTCAAAAGTTTCTCTGCCAGGTGTATATTACTTTATAAATTTAGTATACCACCTTGCTGAAGTTAGCAGGATCTCTCTTCTTGAAGAGTACAGACTAATGTGTTTGAAACCAATGAATATATAGGGCCACAAGCATACATTAATAATTCACAACCAGGTATGCAACTCTACAGCCACACTACATTGCCTCATACACAAGTGATCATTCCCAACCTCAAAATGATCACCTCCTTTGTAAAGTCTTTTTTTTTAATTTTTAATTTTATTGGTACAATCTAGATATACATAATGATTACATTCATCATAGGGAATTTATACATGTACATGATATATCTTGATTCCTTTTATTTTTCTCCCTCCTTTTCCTTCAACTCTTCTTCCCCTATGCACAAAAGCTCTGCTTCCATTTTTTTCCTTCTTTTCTTTTTTCCTTTTTCCTTCCTTTCTTTCCCCCTTGCTCTTCCTATCTAGTTTTCCTTCCCTTACGAACAATGTTTTCTTATTTTACTTTGTCTATTATACATGTTGGTGAAGTCTTTTTTAATTTGAAACATCATATATCTCCATCTGCAGTAGAAATTTTTATTTCCTCTTGTAGACGGTAGGTTAAGTGAGACAACTGGAAAACTCAACTACACTAAAGCAGTGCCTACTGCAATGCCTAGTAAGAAGCACTAACATAATTTCTGAATGAATTCCACATGTGACAAAAATGTATCAATGTTAAGCCATCAAGATTATCAGTACATATAAAAAATAAATACCCACACTCTCATTTGTAAACTTCAGTTATCAATTGCTCTATAAATTGAAGTACCCTTTCATGTTCCCCACTGCCCTCATCTCTACATCATCAGCAACTTTTTCCTCTGTGCTGTAATATTCCCATTAACAGAACAAAAACTAATGACCATTCATAATTTTCAGTAGGCTTTAATCTGGAAAAATCTTCCTTACCTGTCTTACCCTATCACTGTTTCTAAGTCCCTACCTCCATGGTGTGTTTTTATATCCATTGTTTTCTGTCTAGCCTTACTACCAGTCCTTATTTCAAACTTTTACCACTACATGGCTGAACTACATCAATTTTCTGACTTTAGGTTTCTGCCCACTTAAATTCACTTTATAAACTGAAACTAATTTAATTTTTTCCTAAATAGTAACTCTAATCCAGTCATTCCTCGGCTAGAAAAATCTTCTAAAGCTTCCCACTGTTTACAGACAAAACATCCAGATTCCTTTTGGCACTCAGAACCTCTGCCAACTGGGCCCCACCTATCTTTCTTATGGTACTGCACACACAGTTTGCACTGTAGTCAAACATGCGTTCGCTAAACAAATATTCATCAGTATCCTTGACTTCTTCTTTATAAATCCTACTATTCCATCCCTGACCTACCCTGTTCTCCCATTCCTCTTTACCTATAATCTTAATATTTAACTCATTTTAATTCCCATTTTTTCCGAAGAATCCTTCCTCAGTATGTCATGCAGAAATTCCCTGTACTCTAGCACATAACACCTCTTACTACTCATCACCTAAACTTTGAGTTCTATAATTATATGAATTGTATCTCACATGTTTTGTGTATTATCTTCTCTACATAGTAGAGAAATTTATGAACCAATTAATCTGACAACCAGAATAAGGAGGCCAATGAGCCATAACATTCATCTCTTCCCCACTGCAAATATGAATGATGATGTTTCTAATTTTCTTGTTTTTTTCATCCCCTTCAGTGTTTCTCATCCTGGGCTCCAATCTTTGATCCTTAAAATATCTTTTTGCTTACTTGTTTTAGCAATCCTAACTTTAGAAAACACCACAATTCTGCATAAAACAGCTAAGGGCTTGCTTAGAACCTTCCCCGCCACTTTAAGATCTGTAGAGTATATCAACTTTAAAAGATGCACTGCTTAAGATCTTGGTGACTGCCTGGAATACTAGTCAGAGAACTTAGAAGGGAGACACAGAAAGAAAAAACAAAAAATTAAGTTCAAAATTTACAATTTAAACATTTAAAAATTCAACAGGACATCTGAAAATAATACTCATGTAACTGTTAAAATTATCTAAATAAAAATTTTAAACATAATTTAAATCATACAGCTTGCTCACATACAAAATTAACTTGAAGCCTACTACAGGTACTTTTTTTGTGTACAGCAGTACCTTAAAATAGGAAAGAGAATCAAACATTTCTTCAATTTGTTCTGAAGACCGAACAGATGATAATATTGGATGAGATGAATTCAAAGCATCTTTCCTCATGGTTTTAAATCGAGCATCTAAGAAATCTTCATACTATCAAAAAATTAAACAGACTAGGATATAAACAGTATCAAAGATAGAAGTAACTTTAACATTTATGTGAATTATACTAATTACTATTTAAAATCATTCTGAAAAAAAATTTTCACTAAACTTCAGAATATAAACTTTTCAAAGCAGAGAAAGACTATAACCCTCATACATAGTCCTTAAATTTAAAAATAGTTATAACCTGGACACATGAAAATCAGCATTATCTAAACAAGAGCATAAAAATGAATTAAGGATCTATTACTAAACAAATTCCAAATATGGACAGTCAAGATGAACATTCTCAAAAGGTTAAAAATATACTTTTAGATAAAATCTGAAATTTAAAAAGAAAAAAACCTGGGCCTTAAGCAGATTTCTCATATATAGCTCCTATTTTATTTTAACATAATATATACATTTCTCTTGGGCGGGAGATTTAGCTCAGTGGTTCTGCTGCTTGCATCGCAAGCACAAGGTCCCGAGTTCGATCCACAGTACCAAAAACAACAACAAAAAACAAAGAACAACAACAACCAAAAAAAATGAAGTTCATTTTAAATAAAACTTTTTAACATAAAGAACTCTGAGACCTTGGCAGATGAGCTCCCCTAGACTATTTATTAGGGATTTTTAAACATTCTGGGCACCACCAAGTGGTGAAACTGTATATCTCATTACATCATTAAGTAGTACACACAGATTTTGAATACTTTGCTTAGCCTTTTAGCTAACATTTAATTCCATTATTTGAATCTTTAAAAAATTTCTATACAAAAATTTCAAACTGAAATCCCTAAGAATAATTCTGTTCTAAAGCAGTTTGAATCATGTCTCCAGGAAGTTGAATAGTCACTGTATTAGGATTGTAAGGAATACTTACACTTTCCACTCACAGCTTGAATTATTTTGGTAAAAACAGGTCAATGATTTGGTATATCTGAATACCCCTAAGTATAGGAAGTGTCTTCACAGAATCTAATAACACAATGACAACACTATTATGTCTGTCTGTAATAGAATGGTATTCCAAATGTTTGAGAAAGGACACAAAAGATGGTTTGTGGCAGACTGTTTGTATTAACCTATATATCACTGTTATAAGAGTGCCCACAGAGATAAGAGATGCACTGACACAAAATGTTTAAACTTTTTTCCTCTACATATACACAGTATTAAAAGGTTGTGTTTTGCAAAAAGAGGCTTTTGAACCTTATTTACATTATTTCTGGCAGAAAGGACCACATCTGTCAAAAATAAAATGCAGCAGTGTAATTTAAGATACTTTTTTTTTTTGGTATCAGAAATCGAACTCGGGTCCTTGTGCTTGCGAGGCAGGTGGTGGAACTACTAAGCTAAATCCCGGCCCTAAGACAGTCATCTTAATGACAAAAATATGTAATCTTACATAATTTCACCTTTTAATGAAACCAATAAACGGAAGCATAATTTTCATTGTTAAATCTCAAAAGGGATAGACATGAGCAACAAGGGTAAATTTTATAGCTTTCTAGAAATATTTTCATTATCCTAAATACATAAAAAATACAAGGAAAATGTGAGTTGACTGTTTTTCCTCCTAGCATTTCTAGTAGGACAAAGAAATACTGTACTTACACTTGAAAGCTCTTTAAAGATTTTTTCCAAAGAGAAATACTCCATGAATGTTGCAAAACCTTCATTTAGCCATAGATCATTCCACCACTGCATTGTTACCAGATTACCAAACCACTGCCAGAAAAACAAACTGTTAACCAACATAACATAAACATTCTCAAGAATTTTCCAACAATTGGCTGAATTGACAGATAAACTTCCTACAACCAGATCAGAATATTTTAAAAGTGTCCTAGTATTATACTCCAAATAAAGTACAGTCAAATCAATTAAAGATTGAAAATTATTGAAATCTACTTTAATAGTAAAATAGAAATTTTCATTTTGTCTTAAATGAGAAAAAGCAAGAATGCTTACTAATATATTCATTAGCATATGTAAATTTTAAAAACATGCTATATAAGGAAATAAAAGCATTTTTTAGCTACCTCATAAAAGGATTTCTTAGATAAAGAAATGTTTTCACTTGCTAGTATCGTTAGTAAGATTACTTTCCATCATGTTTATAACCACTCATGAAAGACTCAAACTTTCTAAGGAAGAGATTTCTTATGAAAGAGAAGGGGCCTGTATTTCACATTTTTCCTCAGTTCCCAAGCTAAAGACAGTGTTTGCATGACTTAAACCAGAATTCAAACAAAAATTTTAAATAAAGTTAGCATGTATATAAAAAAAATGAAAGCAAGAACTTCAAGAATTTTCTTCCATGAGGCAGTAAAAAGGAAGAAAAAATTATAGGAGACTTCTAAAGAAACTGTATGTGAAAATCCTTCAAATAAAAGTGGTCATAGAGTATGCAATTTAGTCACTGTGGCCTAGAGTTTATCTCAAATTAACAGCAAAAGACAGGGTGACTAGATACTAATATAAAATACTTTTAAAATTATCTTAAAACTTGGTTCAGAGAAAGATGACTTGTAAGTCCCAAAGAAAACAGCAAAGAGGTCCCACAAGAGACAACTTATCTCCATGGCCTATTCATAACATTAAAGATATGCTTCATATGCCAGCTTTCCAAGAAGTCTTCACAGGGCTACAAAGTCATGCACAAACTGTGTTGGAGGCAGAGAGTAAATTGACCAACACACTTCCTTTTCTTCTTTCATATACGCCACTCCACGACATCCCAAACCACACCCTCACACACATCCTGGGCCCAACAGAGGTGAGAAGGGATGTTATATCCCCACGCAGTTTCCTTTCTTTTACTCCATGTTATACACATAATACCCTAGCCATTTACTTAGAATCCCTCTCCCACATTAATAGGTACTTGAGGATTTGCAGCAGAAAATGAAAAAATCCAGACTTGACAACTATGGTTCAAGAGTTGTCAGAAAAGATTGCAACTTATGGAAAAGGATTCTTTCCAGAAAGTTACACTGGGCAGTTGGCATTTGTCAGAGGGAAAGGAAATTTGTATTAGGAGGGGGAAAATTAGCTGTGTGAATCATTTATTTAAGCCAATCCTCAGTTTCCAAACCTGTACAATGGGATTATTACCTACCTTAAAGTGGTTAAGTGAAATGCGGATGTGAAAATGCTTTAACTGTAAATGCTGTAGATAGCATTTTCATCTGGAAATCTAAATCTGTGTTAAAAGGCATCTTTTTATTATTAAAGAAAGCAATACTAAAAGAAAAGTGGAATAATTAGTAACATTTACATGTATTCTAAAATTCTAAGACATGAAGTAGACAGCAAGTATGAGATGTAATGGCACTGGGTGCTAGTACCTGGTGGGCCAGCTCATGAGCAATGATTTTAGTAACCAGTTTTCTATCCGCCACTGAAGAAGTATTATTGTCATACAGAAGGGTCTCTTCACGGAAGGTGAGCAAGCCCCAATTTTCCATTGCTCCTGCTTCAAAGTCAGGAATGGCCACCAAATCTGTACGTAACAGGAAAGAAGTGATCAACTTTCCTTCATGTTAGGTGCTCCCTTGCTAAACCAAAATATTTTACCCATGAGTTTATCACTGTGAAGGCTGAGAATTCTTCCCATACCCTCTAACAAATGGAGTCATCCTTACAGTAGTTCTGATGTCTCAGCCATCAGACAAGGAATATCTGATCACATCCCTTTGGGTCACTGTTTCATTGTCCCTCCCTTTTGGTCACTGTTCCATTGTCCCTTGTTGAAGAAAAAAAGTGGCTAATTCCTTCCAATGAACCAGCTTCATAGATGAGGATAAAGTTTAGGGCCAATCCACATAGAACAGTGCTGAAATCTTGCTTTCCTGAACTTCCATTACGCAGTTTTATTTTTGAATTAGGATTTTTCTTGTCAAACTCCAGGCTAAGGTCTCGACAAACTCTCACACAATATCACTGTGACAGGCCCATAAACTTCTAAGTGTTTTAGGCTATAGGTTCAGATACCGTCATGGAATGTAAACAATCTTAACAATTTTTAAGACATTAACAATGTTTCTTGTTTTTTTTTTTAACTGACAAAAGCTCTTTAAAAAAACATTTAAAGAATATCTCAGTGATAACTGCAATCAGAGGCATTGATACTTACCCAATTTTTTAAGTGGGTACTGAATTTCAAAGTAGTTTTGATAAAACTCAAGAAGCTTCACTGTTGTTTCCAAGGCATGACGAACTTGACCAATTTTTTCTGGTACAGTATATATAGAAACCTAAAAGGAATATTATGTAGGATGTGAGGACAGATGCAACTAAAATGCCATAATTCAGGATCAGCATGTCTGAGAAATGCACAGATTTCTATGAGATCTTTCAGGACAGATATTATTACTTATAGTTATTTTAGTCTCCACAGAGTTTAGCAAGTACTTTCATGCATACCACACTCCAAAAAACCTTTATTGGTTCCTGTACTTTCAAGCTATCATAACTTTACAAATAAACTAGTTTGAGCCATCTGACAGCAGTTTGTAAACTTTTACTCATTTTATTTTATGACATTCTTCCTGTTTCATTACCTAAGGTTTCCCATCCTTATTTATTTGAAGGACAAAAACTTTTATCCATTCAGCACCTATCCTAGTGCCTGGCATCTAAATGCAGAGAAGTAACATCTTACAGTGGAGTTAGTTCTGAAGTTAACCTATGAGGACTAAATTCCAGTTCTTGAAATTGTATTGCAGAAAACTCATTAGAGAGCAAAATACTCTCAGTAAGTATGACTAAGCCAGATTTTCTTCCAGTGCTGAAAAAACTTACTGAGATAGATAAATAGACAGACAGACAGATAGACACACTGTAAAAACAAGCTGAAATGCTTACAGTGAGTGGTACACAAAACTAAAACCAACTAAAGAACAACAGACTCATGTCTTCCACTGCCTATTCATTCCAGGGCATTCACTAAGAAGGAAAGCAGAAGAAATCATCCACATTATTTAAATGGCTATTTTTTTTTTGTGGGATAAATACATAAGTTAGATACAAATAACTATAAACAACTGAAATCTGACCCAAAAATGTACTTATCTCCATTTCTGAAATATAATATCTAGAAGAAAATGGCAGTTTATTTTCTTTTCCTTCTTTTTCTTAAAAGAACATGCTTTATGAGTTTTAATAGTGAGAAATCTTCCTCAAAATTCTAAGGACAACAGAAACAGCAAAAAGTAAAGAGCACAATATATGTCAGCCAAGAAGTCTTGAACAGCATGACAGGATTGATGAGAACACTCTATAAACACTAGTGGGGGCTGGGGATGTAGCTCAGTGGTAGAGCCCATGCTTACCATGCCTAAAGTGAGGCTTGATTCCCAATCAAAACCCAAAAGTAAACAAACAAAAAACACTGTTAAATGGAATTCAGCTGGGTTTAAGATTTATAATTTAGAACTTTTCTTAGCATATCTTACAAGGACCTTATGGTTGATTGTAAAAACACAACTACTGTATAAAGATACTGATCAGCTCTCTGATATTGTGGAACAACAGATTTGTTAGGATTCAGTTATCTTTTCCTTACATTAGTAAGAAAAATTAACAAAAGCAAAAACAGAACCAGATCTCATTTTTTCCACAAAAAAGAATAAGTCTTCCGAGATAGATGTATAAAGGGAGAAAATATCAAAAGTTTCAATACTAAATTTTCTGAAAAATAAGCCTTCCTAAACAGGTAACTGGACACAAAAAAGCATATGTTCCTAAACAAACAAATAAACACAAACAAACAAACACAGTGTCAAGTCGATCCAGAATATCTGATTAGATAAGACTCTTCAGAATAACGTAAATTGCAAAAGGTCCCAGGAGGGTAAAAAGATACTTGAAGTAGAAATGTTTTCAGTGGAAAGAAATGTTTTCTCCTGATTAAATGTGAATAAATGAGAATAATAACCACACAGATAATACTATGAAGGCTCTATTTAAATGTGCAATGTCAGATGTGGACTGACATGATTAAATTCTGATTCTACTAAGTAAGACTATCTATGATAAAAGTGAAAGCACACAATGGCAAAAAACAAAACAAAACCAAAAACATCAAGACAAGTAAGTAAAGCAATGTATTTCACAACTGACCTAGAATTTCCGAGGTAATTCTGATAGTCTGAAGGCAGAGAGAGGTTTAAATAATGAGGAAGAAAAGAATGATAAAATAAATGTTCTTTTCTCTTTAAGCCTCTGACATGCTCTTTTAAATTTTTATTAGTAAATGTTTGTAGTACATACATTTTACAATCATCTTGGGGAGTTGGTACACGTTCATAATACAGTTTGTTTCTTTTTTAAATCTTCCATCCACCTCGCTCCCTCCCTCCCTAGTTCCCCTTTTCATTCTTGTTGATATTATTAACCTTAGTTCATATTTCCAGGATACCAGAGAAGCACAATACCACAGAGCTACACCTCCAGCTGTAAAGCAGTCTTTATTACTGAATGGGACTCACAACAGTCAACTTTGACATTTTTAGTTGCTTAGTAAGAATCACATTATTAAATACAGCTCTACTACCTTTCTTCCTAAATCTTGTTAAATAGATCTACTGTCACATATCACAAAATAGAAGCCATACTAGAAATCGTGACATTTTAATTTAAGTCATTTTAGCAGAACAAAACTCCAAGTCTTAAATTTCTGGTCACGCTATCTACAGAAGTTGTATCATTTGGTGCTTACCAAAGACACAAGAATCTATGAGATTGTCACGGTCACTTACTGGGTATGGTTCAATCACCTTACCTGACACACTGCTCCCTCATCAGCAAGATGAGGGTAAGCCCTCCCTTCATTCAGTTTATAAAATGAAAAAATGTTTATAATCGAGTGCCTAAGACAGATGCTAGCACAAAGTAAAATTCCATGCATGTTATGTTCATTTCCTAAAAGGGAGGAAATGAATAAACTTTATATTCATGTAATTTTTCAAAACACATTACTACTGAGTAGTAGTAAAAATTAGATTATATCTACTGACATGTAAAGGATTCACAATGTATTTATATATGGGACAAAGGGAGTGTGCATTCTATCTATGTACATATAATATGCATATTCATGTTATATGGGTTTTCGTGTGAGAGTGTCTGTGCACGTGTATATGTGTATATGATACCAGAGTTGTGGAAGGTGAGGTATAAAGAGGATTAGAATATAGTCTGCTCAAGGGCTCAGAGCTGCTAAGATATATAGGAGGGATTCCAGTCCAGGAAGACTCCAGGATCTATGTTTAACCATGTTGCTTCCTAATACAGGTAAATAAAAGGGAGAAAGAAGTCACCTGAAACTCTTCTCTTAATGTCTCCCTCTCTTTCTACACGCATACAGCAAGAGAGAAAAAGAGATACATGAGACTGAGGAGTACATACCATGTGAGTAACGAATACTTCAGCTTGGCTAGATAGAAGAATTCTCATTATAGAAATTGAAAACATAGCTGAGTTTATAAGGAAGAATTTGAATATCAGAATGTATTTGAAGTTAATCCTATGGTTAGTAAGAGGACAACACCGTAGATGAGAGGGACACATGGAGAGAAGAAAGAAGGAAGGGGGTGTAAAATGTATTTAAAAAACCTTTCCTTCTTCTATATATCAGTTATGTGAAAAATATAGTTATAGTGAAAAATACTAGTTCTCTACTATGAAATTAAACTATAAAATCCAATTAAATAATCCTTCACAGGACAAAGAAAAAAGAGAACCCTTGTTAGAATAAAGAATCTATTTTGCAAAGTGCAGATAAATCTTTAGATATATGTATATATGTTATCCTACTAGAAGTCTGTCATAAAAGTATTAAGAAACTTGAAAATTGCTGACTTTCAAGCATTAAACTAAAAATAATAAGTAACAGTAAGTAAAGAGCATTTCTGGTATAAATTGTCAGAATGTGATCCAAAAGCTTATTTTTCTATATAAGCCAACTACAAAGAGTCATTAAAGCAAGAATTTCTCTTAACCTCCCCTGGGACAGTTACTGCATACCAGAGTTCCATTTACATCCTGACTCAGGTTCTTCATCTCGCCTATAATGAAAGCGACCAGGTAGGTGCTCATCTTCACACTCTCAAAAAACTCATCCTGAACAAGTCCATCTTCCATAGGGACTGATGATTTCTACAGGAAAAGAGAAAACATAATAGTTCTAAAATTGCAGGAATACGTGACAGTAACAAATACACAGACAAACTAAAAAAGAAATGAATAGCAAAGATGCTAGTGTATCTTAATCTCTCAGCCAAAGTTTTTGGAGAGAGCATGGCCCTTGGTCTCAATTTGTTCTACCATCGTTCATCATCATGACACACTAAGTACAGTGGAAATTCTTGAGTTTGTAGCCCCTGGGTAGCTTTACATATGTGTACATTAGAGCAAGTAATTCCACCAAAAACCTAAATCCTTTCCTATGACCTAGCGATCACTCTTCCTTTACCGCTACAAAAACACGTCGAGGACCCCAAGAAGGGTAAGATCAAAGGCAGCAAATCACCAGAAAAGTCTGCAGCAGACACAAGATGAAGGAATGCAATCAATGTGTAGAATTTTCCAACCATTAATTAAATTCTGTTTTGGGATACCAGGCAAACAGACATCCACTTGCTGCAAAAGTTGAATTGAAGAGTATAGACAAAGTGGAGTTATTGGAGCACCATTCCAGATAAGGCCAGATCATGTTGTCTGTTGCTGCCTACAGGACATGGATCTCCTCTGCCCTAGCCACATTATTCCAGGAAGCTCCCTAAGATGTGTAAGACAACAGGACACTCTAGGTTCTAGTTGGCATGGAAATTACTCTGATTTCATGCTTACTGCCCACTCAGAATACTCAAGAGTCTCCTGTTCATGTCATCAACCTCCAAATTACTCCAATGTCAATTTTTAATCTACCCACAAACCACCAAGAACAATCATGATTCCATACTACCAAATAACACTAGATTAGCAAATTCACTGTCTCAGAAATTATCACTCTCATCTTGTACTAGTTCACAGTATTAAATTTACATAACTTCATAAATAGGACACATTTCCTGTCCACACCTTCCAAGTCCAACAGGTCTGTCTTTCTTTGGGTGTTCCACAGGCTGACTTCCCAACTGATCCCAACAAATACCTGTGTTTGATTTTTTATTTGAGTACTAGTAGTGTGCATGGGGGTATAGCTAATCATTTTTAGCAACAGTCTGTCAAAGACAAAATCAGGTGTCCTTAAAGAAAGAGATCTACCCAAAGATTTTACATTAAAAAAATGGAATGGTACCTTAGGCATATTTGATAAAGCAGTGTATTGCTCATCCCTTATGATCCTAATGACAAATGTAGCTTTAAACGCTGGTTCATCGAAACAAGGAAAAGCAGATCTTGCTGCCAGAGGTTCAAATTGAGTTGCTGCAAAGTACCTAAAACAGATATAAATTCAATCCAATAATTATTGATTACCTACTATATAAGTTAAACATAGTATCATCCTAGTCATTAAAGGACTCACAATAGAGGACAGAAACTTATGTCAGAATGCAAATCATGTTCTAAAGTGAAAACAAAGCAGTGGATAAAAAGGGTAGGGAACAAATTCTGTTTAGAGGTCAAACTCACCATTACGAAATGGGTACTAAGTCTGAAGAGGGCTTTAAAACATGAGTATTTAAGAAGGTAGCTAAATAAAGAACATACTCAAAGAGTGGGCTGCACTAAGAGAGAAAGCAAGCAGTGCACGTCAAGACTGGGGACAGCTGCCAAGTGTGGCTGGAAAACAAACCACAAAGGTAAGCTGCAGCTGGCCACTGAAGTCTTAAAGAGGTCTCTCAGGGAAGATCAGTAAGAAGGGTTGCCATTAATTTACACTAATCATCTGTACACACTCGGGCTTCCTAACACTAAACCTCAAATTCAAACATTTAACTTTTATGAGTACTGAAAAATATAGGTAAGCTGTACTACTCTCATTTCTTTTACTCTTTTTAACAATGAATCAAAAATTTCCTCTCTTAAATAACACAGCACCAACAGTTGAGACTTTAACACATACAAAGGTTCTTAATAGGCTAGGGAAAAAGTATCTAAAGAAATGGGGAGAGTATAGATTTTTTTAATAAATAAGGGAATAAAGCAGATTTCCATTTGGAAATTATTCAAACACAACCACAAAATAATCAGGACAAGTGTGGCTCTGTTGTGTGAATTTCTAGCACCAGGCAACCTGGCACAAATATAGTAACCTCACAGCAGACTCTCGTGCTTAGGCTTAGTTTCCACTGTTAGAAGGTAAGAAGAAAAGAAAAGGTCTGGAATTTGGAGTCTGAAGACCCAAACTTTAAAATGTACTAGCCATATGACCTTGGACAAATCAAATGACCCAGACCTTAATTTCCTCACTTGTTATTATGATTGAGATAGGATCCCCTAACCAAACACCCAGGCTTTTTTTCATGATAAAACAACTATTCATATAAAACTATTTGTATACTATAATGCCCTACAGAGATGTTTATTACACATGTCCAATAACCACAACTCATTCACACTTAAAATTATTGTACTTCTTTGTCCTGGTAGGAACATGCCCCAATAACTGTTTCTATTGGGTAAACTATAACAAAGGTAACAATCACCATTCATGAAACAATTTAAATATTATATTTCTAACATTACATTTCTTTACCTGTCCCTCAATATTCTTACATATTTAACATAAGGGCATAGGGGCCAGGGATTAAATTTGTTAAAAATCCCTATTCTTCATATAAGAGAGCCTAACTATGGATAAAAACTACATCGTAATAATTTAAGACAAAACATTATTGTTAAAAGAGATGCAGTAGTAACTATCTCACACAAAAGTCTCTTTGACAAGGGTGCTGCTTAATGATACTTAAAATTTGTCTCATGTAGGAGGAATACTCTGAAGCTTATTCTTTCATTAGCAACTTTATTTCCTTTTAGAAATACTAGTTATAATTCCAGGGCTTTGTCAAGTAAGAGAACTGTAAGTACTAGCGATAAAAAACAATGTATAGTCATTCAGAGGAAAATGGATGCAGCTTGAGAACATAATGTTAAGTGAAATATATCAGACACATAAGCTTAAATATTGTACAGTTTCTCTTATATGAGAAACCAAAAATACAAATGAAGAGCAAAAATAAGAGCCAGTAATAGGAAGTAAGGAGATAGATGTATCTCAGATAGAAAGGGGATCAAGAAGAGATGGAGAGAAAGAAGGGAGAGAGAGGGAAGGGAAAGGAAAGGGGATGAGAAAAGGAATTAAGCTGTGTTGTATACAGGTACCAACTCCCACAAGGAATGTAAATATTATGTGCTGGAAATATAAAAAATACTAAAAAACAGGAAAAGGAAAAGCAGTGTGAACTAGGGAAGCAGCATATAATAGTGGTAAAGAATGTGGCCTCTGTACAGTTAAAACAGCTTTGGGTTTGAGTTCCCTGTCTGCGATCTGCTAGCCATAAGATGTCAGAGGCACTTAGTATGCCCTTTTGTTTCCTCAGCTATACAATGGAAATACTATTTCTGTGTTATTTTGACAATTGAAGACTAAACATAAAATGCTTGGAATAGCTTCTAATACTTCAGTTCTCTGTAAATACTGGCCACTACTGTATTAGAGAAAGACACACCACATTCAACATGGCAGGTGATGGCTGTAAGAGCTAATGCTAAATAATGAAAGTTCTTGAACTAAGTTAAACCATGCTAGAAATGAGGAAGTGCTGAAGCGTTGTAGGCTAAAGGCTAACATGATTGCCTATACTTACACAAACGAGTATAGACATAAGTTGGCAACAATGTAGAAAATAGGGGTGGTAGGCAGAAGTAAGAGTACACATTTTAAAAAAAAATTGCTTATACTTTTCAGACATCCTAAAAGGTATAAATAATCTAAACTTTTACCTTCTATCAAGAATATGTAATAATGTGGGGCTTAACAAACTTATGGTGTGTTTATAATAGAAGTTTCATAAACTATTTTAAGGCTTTAAAATAGTTTTACAGTTCTTAATTTTAAGCAATTATATTCCATTTTCTAACATATTCCACCACTCAACTCCATGACAACAGTCAGCAAGTGTTCATACCAAAAGTCACCTTTCTCTGTTATACATTTCTTCTTCCCTTTACACAGTAACAGGCCCATGGATTCCGGGCAATGATTTGATGAGATAGCTAGATGGCTTGTTTCAAAGGTCTGTTTTCCTACTAAGTCACTGTTTTTATGTACGTCCTATATTTCCTAGAGATGATGGAGACTACTGAAAAAGAACTAAAGCCTGAACTCCTAAACTGCCAGTACAATTCCAAATCACTGCCTGATGTTAGATATCATACAAGAATACTTGAAAAGACTTATATATAAGGAAGGAAAGAATAAAAACTATTTGAATAGAATGACAGATTTGGTTTGTCCCTTTCCCTATTTAAGAAGGATTAAACAATTTCCTTAAAATAAAATATTCATTTCTATTTCTCATAATACTTCAATACACATTAGCTAAATAAACATAAACAGAAATTCACATCCTGATTTACAGGGTAGTAAGAGAGAATGCTCCAAATGCATAGAGAAGATGTATCAAAGACTTTCTGAACATAAAAGAAATGATATTATCACTACTTATGAATAACCTATATGCAGTGTACCTAACATTTTTTCAGATATTCCAGCTATATGTTATGAATACTAAGATTAAAGTATAAAGTACATGGTCCAAGTAAGGATCAAAATACTTTTGTTTAATTTCACCTCCCCATCAAAAATTCAAAAGTAAGAGAGGCATTTAAAAAAAAAAAAGTAAATCAGTACAGAGTGAGGATACCATAAGCATATCAGGCTTCCTGCCTTCTTTATCTCATTAAACATCTCCCACAAGTTCTGCAAATTAGAAAAATAGGTCTTAAAGAATAATCCATTTCCTATTTCCTCTGCCTCCCACTTCATAAGCAGAGAAAATTAGATTTATCCTACAAAATATGAAAAGCTCAATATAACTTAAGCTTTCCTGAGAATGTAATTGATAAAAATTTTTATCCTTCCCCTTTCACCTGCACATTCCTAGCCCATCCCACCATGGCATATGATCAAAGTTTTGCCTAAGAGAAATAGGTCTTTCTTCCAAATCACCATTACATTTTGCACATAATTTCTCAAGTTAAAAAAATGCAGTTACTGTCCCTGGGCAAAGGGATCCCTATTGTAGAAGTTATCACAAAGACTCGAACCAGAACCATTTAAGAGGGCTACATACTTTTTCTCAGTACTTTCATCTTTGTAGGTGATGCCATAAAACCCATAGTAAGAATTAGATATATTTGCTGAAAATTCTATCTTCATGGTATAATTGTGCCCTGCTAGAAGGGCTTCTGGGGCAACAATGGCGATTTGTTCATGATATGGATATTCCAAAATTTCAACTTGTTTTTCTTGGCTTGAAACTGACATGAAAGTCACTCTTGAAATATTATGACCTGTACTATGAAGAATAATGTTCCATGTGGCCTGAAGAGCCTGAACTGAAATTGTCACAGAACCCCTGAAAGTCATTGAAGTTAAGTTTGGGTGTAGGTCAAGTTCATAGCGTTGTGGCATAACGGCAGTGGGAAGCCTCATTTGTGCCCATGGAAATAACTTCCCATTTGTTGCAAGTGGCTGAATTAGTTTCATTGACTGGTTTTTTTTATGGCAGCCTTCTTTGGTAAAAGTACATCTAGGCAGTAGGTAAATCACCATGATGACAGAAACAGCAACCAAAATGACAAAAGCACAGACCACCAAGGTCCTTGCAGAGGGTACAGAACAAGCCCCATCTGCACTCTGCCTGTAGCCAGCTGCATTGTTCCGAAGGCCGGAGCTTCTGTTCATAAAGGACATGCCCAGCAGCTTTGCAGATGATTCATAATCCTCTTCGTCCTCATCCATCTCATGTTCGCCAAGACCTCGCACCAGCAGTCGGGAACCCCGGGGCTCATATTCCACTTCATCAGGCTCTAATGGATGTAAACAAGGCTCTTTGGCTAAATCCACCACATCTGGTTCTTCCTCAAACATACTGTTTTCAATCATATTCCTGGGGAGCTGAAGTCTATCTAAAAAGTCAAAAGATAAAGACAAGACACAAAGTTAGGGGGAAATAGCATGCAATACCATATCTTCTAGCAAGACCAAATTTAACCTAAGATTGTTTAAATCACTAAGACTTGCTTCCATTCCAGAGCTACTGGATAAGATGCTTACAACATTCTTGAATCATCCATTAAAAATCGAAGCATAAATAAAAGTATACCACAGTCATGAAACAAAAAATTAAATAAACATATTAATATCAAAAAAGACAGCTGAGGGACCAGGGATTTTGGCTCAGTGGTGCTGCCACCTGCCTTGAAAGCTCAAGGACCTGAGTTCGATCCCCAGTACCACCACCACCAAAAAAAAAACAAAGACAGCTGAGATTACATGTTAATTTCCTTAACACATCTACTCAACTACCTGGGCCCCTGGCTTGAAGCAGGGGCCTGCCTCTGAGTCTGTCCCCAAAGAGTGAGGAGTCAGTAGGATCAAAGGGATGTGACCACTTATAGTCCATGCCCTTCTTTCAGGATGTGGGTACCTGCACTATAGAATTCCTGCCCCAAAGGCTGCAAGCTAGCTCCCATGACTTGTGCGGGTCTTAACTGTGAGTGTGCTTCTTCCTAGGCAGCACAACAAACTGGTAGGCCTGTTTTTCTAGGGTCAAAGGTGGCTATGCAACAGGATGAACTTCTGTTTCTCCTGAGGGAGGGATGTTCTTATACCATAGCAAACTTCCATAAGCAAGAGAGAATAAAAATATGAGCTAAAACTCTAAAGCTCAGATAAAACTACAATGCAATCTACTTTACAGATTTCCACAGCATTCAAAGTAAAATGTATTCCTATCTGTAACTACTACACTACATATACCATGAGTGTTAGTATCTTGGGGGTGCGAAAGTAGTGGGATCTTTTAAAAAACACAAAGAATAACTGAGCGGGAAAAAAAAGACTGAAAAAGTAGAAGGGTAAATAATTCCATATATACACACACATATATATATATCAATAATTCTTAATTCTTAAGATTAGACTATTCAGTATTCTTCACTTACAAATTGTAAAACTTTACCCTGTAAGCAATCTCCAAAGTTATCAAATTGCAACCATGACTAACCTTTCTCTACATGGTACTTTATAAATATTTCTAATCTTCACATTTCTATAAAGTGGCAAATATGATACTTTGGACATAAGAAAATTGAAAACCAAAATGGATTCATTTATTTTCATAGCCATACAACTGTTTAAATCATAAATTTGATATTGGAGCCCATGTCTAAAAATTTGATTTCAAATTTTGAGCTCTTTCCATTACTTTATTGTATCTTCTTAAACTAATTCAATAAAAGATGACAACAAGTGTATGCAAAAGTCCTTGGTTAAATAAACAGCTCTGGGAGAATAAAAGATGAGAGTGTGCACCTAAATTAATTCTGTACATGACAATGAAGTTGCTAAACACACTATTTCACCATTAGCAGAACAAAGCTTATATTAAACCACATACTGTCTAGCTTAATGCAAAATGCTATGCATTTCATGCTATTCAATAAATAATCAAACACTGGCAATGCATAATTCATGAAATTAAATACTGATAAATATTCCTCAAAGTGGTATGCTGACCGGACACATTCACATTATATTGTAATTTATTAGAAAAGCAGACTCTCATGTTCCTCCCTGAATATGAATTTCATTAAATCCTTACTGCATGAAGCTTGAGACTCCTTGGTCTAAACTGTTGCAAAACTCCCTAATGTACTCTGGTCACCCCAGGCTGCCACTGCTCTGAGAACAAGTCAGGCTGCTCTGACGTGCCACCCACTAGGTGGCTCTTACCGTGATCTCTGCCTTCATAGATCATTTCATCTTTCTACCTCAGAGGACCTAGGAAACACCTGTTATTGCATAACTCAGCTTAACTTGCAACAATGTAAACCAAGAAAAGTTACATGCTTTTTGTAACTTTTCCAGGCTGGCCTGGAAATCACAGATTCTCCTGCCTTAGCTTCTCAAGTGCTGGGATTACAGGTATGCACCACCACACCCAGCTTTCTATTACATTTTAAGAGTACATTTTCATATCATTTTTTTATCTTTAAATAACATGCAAATGCCAAGAAGAATAACTTTTCCCACCTTTTCTCCATTCTAAACTTTTAAAGTTATGCTATCTTAAAAGTTTTCTATGAATGAGAGTTTTAATCATTTTCTAGGTGTGGATTTAGCAAGCCACTACCTATCCATTTTCTGTGAAAGGTCTGAAAATGAAAGAGTGGTTATAATATCCTGTTTTTGAGAATTTCATTTTCTAAGCTTCCTATAGTGTCTCAACTTCTTGTGATAAAGTCTGTTTGACAATTAACTGTGTTTGGGGATATGCACTTCATTAACAGAATAAAGATTGCTGTATTTGAATCTCCACCCCCACCCTGTGGTAGTGTTTTAGCACCTGGCACAGTGCTGTAAATTAGTTGCTCAATTTATTTTGCTTTAACAATATCTAAAAGGCTTTTTCTGATTATTTTTTAACTTCACATGGGAAGATTAAGCTCCTTTCAGCATTTTCTCCTGAATTTTCTTCTGTGTGGAACCTAATGTAGACAACAGTAGGCTGTGCTCTGTTTTCATTTAACAAATTTCTAAAGTCTAGGAAGCCTCAGCCTAACTAACATTTCTGTCCCTAATTCGAATCCCTCAGAACTTTTTTCTTTTTATGTAAGAACTGTTTTAGAGTTTGACTCTTCACCCAAGTCCCGATTAAGGTACAATGTATTCTACAGTTTGATTGTGTATCACCTCTTGTCTGTACTTTATCATCAAATCTTCCGACAAAGGCCTAAGTGCCTGCCCAGATCAAAACAACTAACTTTTATTATTTAGTGCTCATTAACACTTATTAGAATTTTAATCTTTCAGAAATGGTATCCATTAATCCATCTGCTATATTTTATTGCATATTAGTAAAAAGTATGATTCTATCACAGCAAGTTAAATATAACAAACCAGGCAAAACTACTTTTATTACAAGTAGCTCATAAAGATTGTACTTTAAGCTTATTTAGAAAAAAATTACATTGGTTTAAGTCAACCAACTGAGTTTAGCATAAATCATAATGTAACACATTATTACTTTTGCTCTAATGGCCTTTATTCCGATTGAAAGAGTATCCCAAAAGGACAGGGAATTTGCTAAAACCTCTTAAATCCATAAATACAGGCCATCTATAAGCCAAAATTCCGAGTTTTAAATAACATGTGATCTAGTACTCCTTGATGGTGTTGGTGGACCAGTGCCAATCCAAACTCTTGCCCATCTGTAACAGGATACCCATTCAAAACTTACTTAGTATTCAAAAACTTACAGCACTGAGAGAATAATTTTATGTCTCTCAAATTTAATTTTTAAAACTGCACTTACGTTTTGCATGTTTTTCATTTTCTTTTTCTAATGATGAATTTTTAAAATATGCTACAAAATTTCTACAAGAGCAAAAAAAAAAAGGAAAGAAAGAAATTCTCATAAGCCTAGATAATCTGAGAAGCAATGGGTTAGACCAGTGGTAGTAAACCTATGGCACGTGTGCTGCAAGGGGCTGTTTGTATCACTGAACGCTCTAAAAAGGCTCACCATCACTGGGTTAGACTGTAACTATAAAGCAATTCAGGTAAGATAAAGTTTTCAATTATGATGGTAGCACTGGAAGTGAAGAGGAGGGAAAGACTGCAAATTATATTAAAGAGGTAGAATGCACTGGAATTCATGCTCCCTGGGCTAGATGGGCCAGTAGAGTGGTGAGTTAGAGGAAGCTGATGTCAACTCCTACCCACATTGTGCTTTAGATGATCAGAAGGACAGTCATTCACTGAGACTGAGAATATAGTACAGATCTTCACATTCTCTCATTATGAGGAAAGGAAGAAGTGAAAATGAGATTGTGAGGTAGCATTTGGTATGGGTTATACAGTATTTGATACAGCTGAGTAGAAATGATTAACAGCATATTATAGAGGGCTGGAGATTTAGCTGCCTGCCTCACAAGCACAAAGACCCAAGTTCAATCTCTGGTACTAAAAAAATAGCATTTTATAGAGCCTATGGACTCAATTTAGATGGAGGTTCAAATTGTGGCTCTATCAATTTCCCTGCCTATAAATGGGGGCATAAGGATTATGTCATATGGTATTGGGGCTCAAAAGAAGGATGCAGGTAGAAGACTAAGATTTTCAAATTATTTGTGTGTGTGTGAGTGAATATATGCATATGTATGCGTGTGTGTGTGTGTGTGTGTGTGTGTGTGTGTGTGTGTTTAGGGTGAGAACAATTTAAGCATGTATTTCTGAAGGAAAGGAAAAATAAAGAAAATGTGAAGGTAGATGAGTAGGAGAAAGGAAACAGTGGAAAAATATCCCAGTGGGATAGGGAATCACCAGGAACTCCAAAAGAAGGATTAATCTTGATGGATGCTCAGCATTCCTCCTGGACCCTGGAGGACAGAAAGTGAAGATGGGGAAGGTTCATGTCTATGGAGTGTGGATCAACAGAGAACCCATGTGTTCTCTGTGACAGGAGAAGCAAGGCCATCTGCCTAGAGCTATAGGCAATTGTGGGGAATGTAAATGTAAAGAGAAGATAATAATACAGGACAGGTGTCATGGAAAATGATCAGGGAGTGGTAGCCCACAGAAAAGCTATAGCTGAGACATTCAGGAAGCTCAGTGAAATTTGTCAGGCAACGAGTTTCCACAAGCATCTTTAGGAGTATTAGCCAGGGCAGGACTAAAAGTAAAGAAAAAATGTTAAATTAAAAAGTGATACTGAAATTAAAAGTGAAAAAAATTTTCAAAGTAGGGGAAGAAAATTGTTATACATGTAGGGAGGATGTGGTAAGAAACCAAGGGTTAAGTGTACAGAGGGTATTGGCAAGAAAGTGATTAACTGTGAGGTGTAATTTAGAAAACAGACCAAAAAGAAAAGCCTTGACACCAAGCATCATGAGCACCTTGAATTAAAAGGTGTAAATTTCCCACACATTATAATCCCTTTAAACTACTAACAAATTTTCAAAGAAAATGAAATAGGATGTATCATCAAATGAACAAGCCAAATAATTTTAAAATAGGCTTAATAAAAAGTAAGTCTTCTAGGGCAGATACGAGGCTTATTACATTCAAAAGAAGCCCTAACAATAAAACATTTTTTTCTCTGAAGCTTCTACGGCATATTTATGCAAGGCTAAAAGCTCAAAGTATGAGACAGCATTTATATTTTCTACATCATTTCCACATGGAAACTTCATTAAATTCCCAAAATGATGGTTATCAAATAAAATAACTATTTTCCTAATGCGAATCCTTTCCCATCAAAAGATATTTCATGTTTTAAAAAGTTTAAGCTTAACAAAAAAAGGTCCAGGAAACAAAAAGAAGTATAGCAAAATATCTAATGGGGAAAACAGACTATTTAAAAATACTCAACCTACAAAGAAGAAGTATAGAGCAACAACAAAAGAGGCAAAACAGTGAACTTACAGCCAACCATATAAATAATTACACTGATTACAATAGATTCCAACTGCATGGCAGAAATTATCACACTGGGGTAAAAAAGCAAGACTATAAGCATAACCAACTTATGTCCATAAGATGTATTTTAAAGTTAAAGACAGGGCTGGGGATTTAGCTCAGTGGTTCTGCTGCCTGCCTCTCAAGCGCAAGGTCTTGAGTTTGAACCCTGGTACCAAATAAATAAATAAATATAAATATAAATATAAATATAAATATAAATATAAATATAAATATAAAGACAGAGATAAAAGGAGAAATCCAACAAGACCAGATCCAATCTTAAATATGTACATACCCGATAACATTTTCCAAATACACTAAAAAATAAAATTCAAGAGAAAAAATAAGCATCCTCAGCCATAGCTGGAGAATTTACTACCTTTCTTTTTATAATTGATTGGATAAGTAGGCAACAAAAAACTAAGGTTATGGAAGATACAAATACTACTACCAGACAATTTAATTTGACATCTATAGAACTTTAAAGCAGAGTACATACAAAATATTCACCAGTATCGAATAAAATAAAATAAATCTCAATAAAATCCAAAGGACTGAAATAGTAGTATTAGTATTGGAAATTAAGCCTAGGGCCTGATGCATGCTTAGCACAAGCTATATTCCTAACCCATGAAATAATCTTTTAGAAGACGGTACTCTAACCACAACGACAACAATAAAAAAAAAAAAATCAAATGGGAAGTTCAGCAGACAATCTCTAAATATTTGGAAAATAGAAATAAGCTTCTAAATAATTGATAGATAAAAGAAACCACAAAAAATTTAGAAAATATTTGAAATAGTAAAAACAAAAGTCAAAATGTCAATAAATTTATTGTGTAAGTACCAACGCAAAAAAAAAGTTTAGAAAATATGTAGTATTTAACTTCCTACTAAAATGAAATTAGAGAATAACAAATTTAACTTAAATAAGTAGAAGCGGTAATAAAGCAGAAATCAGTGAAATGGGAAACAGATAAATAATACAAAATTAAAGCAAAAATAATGCTTTTAGAGGACAGGAAAGCAAGAGTTTTGCCTCTAAATCATATGCCTTCAGAAACTGGCCTACAATGCTACATATACCAAATCTTGGTTAATCTCCCAGACCAATTTTTCTCCAAGTCTAGGTAGGTCCAGTAAAAGAAAAAAATTCAGAACAGGTTTGTGGGCTAGAAATAAAGACCCCCTTTAGCAAGTCTGTCTTACATCCATCTCTCTCAAGAACACCAGGCAAACAACAAAATCACTTAGTCAAAGATTAATGCTAGTTATACCCAAGTTAAGAAAATTCATGTGCCCCCAAAACCATAATAAAAAGATCTCATCCATGTCTGTATTTTTTTGGGTTTTTGCTTAAAAAGTGTAAACTCTTTTAAGTGTCATTTAAATTTTTAACTGTAGGGGCCGGGGATTTAGCTCAGTGGTTCTGCTGCCTGCTTCAGAAACACAAGGACTGGAGTTTGATCCCTGGTACCAAAAAAAAAAAAAAAAAAAAAAAAAAAAATTAACTGTATACTAATGAGCAGAAAAAAAATAAGGGCCTCATTTTTAAGCATCCTATTTAAAATTCTTACTTCATTTAAATTAATCATAACTGAGGCTCATCTTGCAGAATACTACCACCCCATAGAAGTTAAGGTTACAATGACAAGAAAAGAATCTTCACAGCTAGCACCTTCATCCTGCATCTGAGACCCAATGGTCAAATCTATATATAAACTACCTAAATCCATCCTTGGTCGTCAGCCATGCTCCCACAAATGCAAAAGGCACACATAACCATGCACAGTGTCTGCTCTGCTTCTGACCTGTATGTGAGACCATTTACATTACAAATATCTTGGTTTCTTTCAAACACGTTTGGCTGCTACAGCCACTTCGTTTTGTGCCCCTATTATACTCTTCTATTTATTTTCAAGCCACAGAACTTTTTTCCCTCCCTCCTACTAATTGCACTACCTCAATGTAACTTTTAAAAGTTTGGTTTCTTTAATCTCTGAGAAATCAATCCAACTATTATTGGAAAAGCTGACTTACTCTGATAATTTCTCCTCCTTTCCTTAAAATTGTATGCCATAAAAATTAAGATAACTCCTTTTCTAAGAAAAGACTAGAAGGACTGCAATCAAGAAATGCTTAAAGGCCTTGAAAAATAAACTCAGTAAGATTAACCACAATATTACTGTAATTCACTTTTCTTTCCCCTCATAGTATCTAACTCCTAGAAAATCAAGGAAAAGCAATTTGATTTATAGCAAGCTTCGTATTATCTAGTCATTTTAAAGTAACCCTGCCAATTTAGATGATCATCAGGTACAGGCTTGCCTCTTGGTAGCCACTGCACAGCGAGTTTTGTTTATAATTAGACTGCGCAGTGTTAATTACGCTGTTGCCCTGCCAATGTTCTACAGAGGTTACAGGCAGAGATCAAAACAGCCATTCCAGAATTATGAGTCACCTCACTCTCTCCACCCTCCACAGCACTAGCAGACTCTCAAACCTGAAAGATGGAAATGGTGTACACTATTTGTCTGTACAGCTTATCATATTTAGGATGAAACACTGCATTCCAAAACCTGTACCATTTTATTTTCTAGAATAATGGGTATATTTTAACCCTGGTAACTTTGTGCTTATTAAAGAATTACAGTTTGAAGGAAAGAAGGCTTTTAAAAAATTTCAAGACCTGTTTTATTCTGCAGAGAGGGAAATTTCTGTATAAACTGCAATTTCAAATTTTGGTTTTCTCATGAATAATCTGGTAGAAACTCTTACCCCACTCACTTGGTATTCCCAGTGTCTAGCATGGAAGAAGTTTGTAATTAATGTTGAAATAAAAGTAGCAATATTCAATATCTTAAAATGGAATATTAACTAATGAAAATTACCACCTCCATACAAGGGCTAAACATAAATTTTCTGAAGCTTGGAGTAAAGTAAAAATTAACATACTAGCTATGAGGTTAACAAGGTCCTGCTAATGCACACTGTGGGGCTGAGTCAGCAGGGCCCACTAAAACTTCAGTGATGATGGTGTAGTCACTGCACATTGATTTTCAGAAAATTCACTACAATTCTTCTCAACGCTGGTATATAATTTAAATCACAAACAGTTTGTGAGGCATTAAATATAGTGAAAACTAGGAATTCTAATCATGGCTCCAATACTTGGTAAACATCAGAATCTCAGTTTTCTCAACACAAAATACAGAAAACTGCTCTGTCTACTTACATTATCACAGGGATCAAATAAGATAAGCAGGCCACAATATTTTACAAAAAATGAAGTATTAAATTAATGAGTTCACTGCAATTGCGTTAAATAACTAGGGTAAAAGCTTCAAAATCATAATAAACACATCTTTTACTTTTCAGCCAACCATACTATACCAGTATTTCTCTTCAAGATCATTAACACAATTTCCTCCCTCACACCTTTATTATAAGAAACAATGTTTACATGTCATTTGAAGCACGTATTTACCAAACTATAACAATGGGCCAGTAAATTTTCCACCATCTTCAAGTTCTCTACGACACTGTATTTACTGTGTCTAATCACAGCTATTTTCTGTGGAGTTTTACAGATCTATGATTAAAAAAAAAAATCAACATTTAAGAAATGTGAAGAAATAAAATGTACTCACTTATTTAACATTGCAGCTATGAAGCACATTGTTTCAATGTTATCAAAGAGATCAAACAGAAACAGTAACTGCAGCACATAAAGAATCCTGTAAAATGTTTCACAGACATGAGCTTTAATATACAGGATCAAGAAGAGGAACAAATAAACACCTGCTGTAATAGAAACCTTAAATGGAAAACAACAGTAAAAAAATGAAGAAGTTACTTCCTTCAGAAAAAATAAAATATCTACCTCTACAAACAAGATAGAAGTTGTTCTAATTTATGACTACTTAGTTCCCTAAAAATAACCAAAGTTCTTTACTGCTTCTGTAAGATATTTTCTGATGCCAAGTACCCACTAAATACTTTCAACTAAGGGGCTACTGTCTAGACACCAGAACTTTTGGTCCCATCAGAGTAGTTGTATTCTTTTAAAAAATTAGCTTTTGTTCTCAAACTGGTTTATGCTGGCCAAAATTATAATTGCAGTTATTAATAAATACTGCATTAAATGAAACTATACCAACAAAATCCAACGAAAACTGAGGTTATGTGTCAGAAAGACCCAAAATAACACTACTGCCAAATGAGGTAGGAGCATGAAAAATATTAAGAGGTGGGAGGGAAGGATGGGTGAGAAAGCATAATTCTAAAATTTCTACACCCAGTCCTGGAAATTTTTAAAGAATAAAAAACCCAAGATTTGGAAATTATAGATGCACAATGGACAGCAGATATTGATGTAAGAAGAAAGGTGTACTCTAATCAGTGGATCTACATTTGGTCCATCAAAATAACCAGCTAAGTGTGCATATTTTGATTTGCAAATGAAATGTCAAAGGGATATGCATTCTTTTTCCATTTTTATATAGTAACTTCAGAAATATTTCCTTAACATTATCTTAAACAAAACATTATCTAGCTCCACAAAGTTACTCACTGATGAGTTTAAACCATAGATTCTTAAAATTATTACTTTCCTAGAATATAAAGTCCAAAATGTATTTTGACTAAGTATGTCAAGAGGAATTTATCCCGAGAGTATACATACCTAACACTGTTTACATAGCAAAAAATGGGGGAAACCCTGTACTAATCAATTTTGTTATTAAGTACATGAGACTGGGTTCTCATAAAGAGAAGAGATTTATTTAGCTCACTGTTTTGAAGCTTTTGAAGTCCAAGAGCAAAGCCTCAGCTCTGAGAGGACCCCTTTAGCTTCATCACCTCACTGCAAATGACAGCACAATGCCAGGAGAGTGTGTAGAAAGAAGACATCACATATCTTACAGGAAAGGCAGAGTGAGAGCTGGGGCCTGGATCACCTTTTTTATAACCACCCTCTCCTGACAACTCACTCAGGGTTCCATGGGAGTGAGCTACCCTCCTACCTTCCAAGGCAGTGTAAACCTAAGCCCTCCAAGGCTCCACCTCTTGAAGGCTCTAGCACCTCCTGCATCACCACACTGGGGACCAGGCTTCTAGTATGTGAACCCTTGGGGGACAAACCGTATCCAAATCATATCATAACCTAGGTGTTTAAAAACAGAGGACAGATATGTTCAAATGCAATAAAATATTATGCAAACATAAATAGCTTATATGAAAAAATATTAAAATATAGAATATATAAAGCAGGTTTTAGAATTTTAAATATTTAAGTATTCAGCCAAGTGGTTACAAACTAAATAAAAAATGTTAGCAGTGCCTATTTCTGAGAGGTGAAGTTATGAGAACGGTTAGTGTTTTATTATCTGTCTTCTTTTTATATGTAAAAAGTAGAAGAAACCTATCAAACATATAAAAATCATGTTTTAATCTAGAGTTAAAAATTAATAAAAAAATTATCAACATTCTTGGGCTCCTGAGTAGCAAAATCTGGAAACCTGGATACTATGGTAACATTTATTATTACCCTCCCATGGACCCATTATTAAGAATCTATACTGGTCATGTGAATTTTTTATCATTTAAATCAAAGAGTTGGTTTTCTGAAAGAATAAATAAAACTGATAAACCCTTAGCTAACCTTATCAAAAAAAGGAAAGAGAAGGCTCAGATGCATTCAATTAGGAATGAAAAAGGTGAAGTCACAACAAATCCAACAGAAATCCAGAGGATAGTCAATATCTACTTTGAGAACTTGTACTCTAACAAAAGGGAAAACAAAGAAGAAATGGACAGATTTCTGGATACTTATTACCAAAGTTGAACAAAGAAGATTAAAAAAACATTTTAAACACCCCAATTACAATCAGTAAAATTGAAAATGTAATTAAAAATTTACCAACAAAGAAAAGCCCAGGTCCTGACAGATTCACTGCTGAATTTTACAAGACATTTAGAGAAGAACTACTGCCTTTACTCTTCAAACTTTTCAATGAAATTGAAAGGGAAACAATACTTCCAAATTCATTCCTGGGAGCAAATATCACTTTGATTCCCAAACCAGGGAAAGACCCAACTAAAAAAGAGAACTGCAGGCCAATCTCCTTAATGAATATAGATGCAAAAATCCTTAACAAGATAGTAGCAAACAGAATACAGAGGATAATCAAGATCATACATTCTGACCAAGCTGGATTTATTCCAGGGATGCAAGGATGGTTCAACATGTATAAGTCATTAAATGTAATACACTATATTAACAGTCAAGGACAAAAACCAATGATCCTCTTGACTGATGCAGAAAAAGCATTTGACAAAATTCAACACGCATTCATGATAAAAAACCCTGCAAAAAATTGGAATAGATTGTTTATATCTCAACTTAATGAAGGCTATCTATGAAAAACCAACAGCCAATATCATATTAAATGGCCAAAAACTGAAAACCTTCACGTTAAAATCAGGAACAAGACAAGGATGCCCACTATCACCACCCCTCTTCGATATAGTTCTGGAAACATTAGCCATAGCAATTAGATAAGAAAAAGAAATTAAAGCAATAAAGATAGGAAAGGAAGAAGTTAAACTGTCATTATTTGCTGATGATATGATACTCTACATTGAAGACCCCAAAAAATCTACCAAAAGACTTCTAGACTTAATTGACACTTTTAGCAGAGTAGCTGGATACAAGGTCACCCAAAAATCAATAGCCTTCTTATACACAAATAACAGACTCACTGAGAGAGAAATTAGGGAAACAATTCCTTTCACAATAGCATCCAAAAAAATGAAGTATCTAGGAATAAATCTAACAAAAGAAGCAAAAGATCTCTACACTGAAAACTACAGTGGTCTGAAAAAAGAGATTGAAGAGGATATAAGAAAATGGAAAGATATCCCCTGCTTCTGGGTAGCAAGAATCAACATAGTGAAAATGGCCATACTACCAAAACTGCTATACAGATTCAATGCAATGCCAATTGAAATTCCAACACTATATTTCACAGAACTAGAAAAAAGAATCCAAAAATTCATTTGGAACCATAAAAGACTTAGAATAGCAAAAGCCATCCTAGGCAACAGACACATGGCAGCAAGTATAACAATTCCCAAATTGAAACTATACTACAAAGCCACTGTGATAAAAACAGCATGGTACTGCCAAAGAAACAGACCCGTGGATCAGTGGAACAGATTGGAAGACACAAAAACAACTCCAGATGTACTCAGCTACCTCATCTTTGACAAAGGAGCTGACTGTCTCCACTGGAGGAAGGATGGCCTCTTTAATAAATGGTGTTGGAAAAACTGGATCTCAACCTGCCAAAGATTAAAACTAGACCCTTATCTTTCACCATGCACTAAATTAAAATCCAAGAGAATTAAAGATCTAAATATGAAAACAGAAACACTAAACTTGCTGGAAGTTAAATTAGGCAGAACTCTTGAAGACACTGGAATAGGAAAAGACTTTATAAATCCTCAGTAGCATGGGAACTAGCAGAAAAGAATCAACAACTGGGATCTCATCTTATTAAAAAGCTTCTGTACTGTGAAAGAAACCATCAACAGAACTAAGAGACAACCTACAATGTGGGAAAAAAATTTTACCAGCTGCTCCTAAGACAAAGGACTACTATCTAGAATATATAAAGAACTCAAAACAATCAGTTCCTCCAAATATAAAGACCTAATTCAAAAATAGGCACCTGAAATGAACAGACATTTCTCAGACAAAGAAGTAAAAGCAGCAAGTAAATATATGAAAAAATGTTCCACATCACTGGTCATTTGAAAGATGCAGATGAAAACAACACTGAGATTTCACCTCATTCCACAAAGAATGGCTGCTATCAAGAAATCAACCAATAACAAATGTTGGTGGGGTTGTGGGGAGAAAGGAACCCTTCTCCATTGTTGGTGGGAGTGCAGACTGGTACAACTACTATGGAAATCAATATGGAGATGCCTCAAAGAGCTGGGACTAGAGGTTCCATTTGACCCAGCCATCCCTCTTCTGAGTATCTTTCCAAAAGAATTAAAAGAATCACACCAGAGTGATATATGCACACCCATGTTTATAGCAGCACAGTTTGTAATAGCTAAAACTTGGAAACAGCCCATTTGCCCATCAGTTGGAGATTGGATAAAGGTGTCATTTTTCTATAAAATGGAATACTACTCAGTCATAAAGAATGAGAAATTAGACTCCATTTATAGGAAAATGAATACATATCGAGGATACTCTAACTGAAATAATTAAGTCACATGTGTAAATACCAAAGAGTTTATCTGGTGTGAATAAACTGTAATAGTACATGAGATCCTAATGATATAACTGACATTGTGAAATGGGAAGAAAAGGGCTAAAGGTGTGGGGAAAGTGGGAATGGTAGGGGAAAGGTAATAAGGGGAAAAAATTAGAGAAAATGAAAAAACAGAAATAAAGTGTTTATAAATGGGGAAGGGAGGAGGGGGTGAAGGGAGGGCAGGGACAAGGGGGAAAAATGAGAACCAAGACCTGTCATGTAAAGGTGCAAGATCCCAATAATGAATGTAACTGTACTGTATACCTATACTGTATCAATAAACTCAATAAAAAAAAATAATGAAGCAGAAAGTACACCCGGGAATTTCAAACCCTGGGCTTCAAGAGGTCTTGTTATTTCCTTTTACTGCCCTGACAGCCCCATGAGATGAAA